GTCCTCAGGGTTTAGCGCTGTATTTTTGACCCAATAAAATTGTGTTGGGTTCAGCAGAATGGTTCCTAGACAGGAAATGGGCACCAAAAATGAGCTAAAACAGGCTGTCTCAGAAGACTTAAAAATCCAGTAAATTTATAACTTACATTTGATAAGCACTTGGAGGGTTAGCATTCAGTGAAAAATGCAGGCAATGAAAAACTCAGGAGTTGGGGAGAGTGTGGGGAGTGACAGTCTTCCCAACCCCTGTGAAGTAGCAGTGCTTTTGCTACTTCACTTGTCTCTTTCCTGTGCATGTTTGGAAACACAGGAAGAGTCCATCCAGAAGGGACCTTGGGGAGTTAGGAAGCGGCAGAGCTGAGGGTCTGGGCAGTGAGCATTTCCTTGGAGAGCCCTGGTGGTGCTTTTGAGTTGGAAGGAAAATCTGCAGCATTATTTGTCCTGGAGGATAGATTGGGGCCTCTCCCACTTTTTGCTTCATCTATTGAGAGGACTGCGTCCACTCTCAGGTTCAATTTTACATCTAAGGAGCACTTTGCCATGCAGTACATCTGCCCGTACAGTGAGTAGTTAGTTTTTCCACACCTTAACTCCCATCTTTGAGAAATTAGATGTAATATTTATATACCAGGCCCAAGTGTTCATACTAGTCCATTTGCCTGGCAGTCATGTTGAGCTTCTTTTCTTCAGTGTCTACTACAGCAGCTGCCTGAACATCAGATAACAGCAATAGCTATAATATTAGTCACTTTAGTAATTACCCTTTGTTACCTACCATACACTGAGTACTTATTCTATGCCAGGTATAGTATTGATACCAATCACTTTATCTGTATTAACTCATTTAATTTGCAAAGGCTCCTATGAGGTAGATATGTATGAAAATACCCATTTTAATGATGCAGTAAGATAATCCTCTTTGAGAGCAGTGGTGTATGATACAAAGATAGCCTTTGGTCTTCATAGTCTCTCATACTCTGAGGTGCTCCTGGCCCAAAAGACATAGTGTTTATTTTTCCCACATATCCTTGAGGCAGGGGGACAGGTTTTTATCTCACTTAGAGATGAGGAAATTTAGGCAAAAGGAGTTGCCCAAAACTGAGTTTGAGACACAGTTATGAAAAAGACGAGTCCAGATTCAGTACTTTTTTCTGCATTCTAGGAGACCCCTCTGGACGGAGATGGTGAGCCTGCCTGCAGCGCACACACCCTTGCTCTCCAGGACTCTAGTATAGACACATGTAGCAGAACTCTTGGTTGCTATAGGACTGAGGGTTTTCACTGTTAGGCTACCTCGCTTACAATGTAGAAAACAATGTATGTAATAAGTTCTTATATTTATGCAGCCTAAAGTAGACATCTTCCTTTTGTTTTGGCTTCCTGGTATTCAACCCTTTTTCCCATTTGGGGGGAATACCCGTAATAAGCCTCCTGGTGGAAGTAGAGGGGCCAAGTGTGCTCTGTCTCTGTTCTGACGGCTGTGACGCTGGCCCTTGGCTTAGATTTGGCCAGTGGGCACTCCCACTAGCACCTGAATTCTCATTCCCTTTATACTGGGTCACTCCTAGAGTCATTTGCAAAGGTTAGGGGAGTAGTCCGTGGGTGGCCAGGCTTTTCCTGCTAAAAGACTGTGTTGTCATTTCTGCTTTTTGATTCTGCACAGCTATCCTGATTTCTTTCCACTTTTCTTGCCATTGTTACCTCATCATTTCGATGGTTCTGTGAATCCCTGAGAGCCTTTAATCTCTCTTTTCTATGTAAGTCATCCAGAGCTGGGTTATTGCTTGCAACCCAGAATCCTTATTGAGGTAGAGCCTTTGTAGTTTGTGAAGCACCTGACAGCAACTTATGTTATTATTTGATATGTAGGATGGCTGTCAGGAAAACAGCACATTTGCGAGGTGTTGGGATCGCCTTTAAAAAGCCTGGCGTGATACATGTTCATTTTGCTCTGTCTGCCGCACTCCCTCACCCCCCACCGAGGTTCTGAGACCACTCAGTGGTGTGGCAGCGTGAACACTGTACTGCTTGGTCCCTATAGTAGGGACGAGCTCTCCACAAGTCTCACTGCAGCTGCTTAGAAGCTGGTGTCCCCTTGGCTGTGCTGTTCTCTGAGCGAGGGAGGCTTTGCTGGGGCCAGCTGGTGACAGCTGCTTCTGTTCCTACTTATTCATCCAAGAATTTGCTACAGAAAAGGGATGAGGATGGGGTTTGCTGATTCGGCAAGACAGCCGGTACTATTTAAAGTTGCACACTTGCAGGGACAACCTCTTTCCAGGGCTCTTCCTCCAGGGCCTGTCCTTCCTGTTCTCAGAGGGTCCCTTTCTTTTGTTTCATTTTCTACTCCAGCTCAATTTCTGTTGTGAGTCCTTCCAGCTCACCAGCCTGCATGTCTTCCCAAAGCCCTGCTGGTTTGCTTTTCATTCTCTAGGATGTTGTTGAATTGGGGTTTGTGCCTTAGTGCCAGCTCCTCCTATCACGTCCTCTTCCCCTCTGTGCTTAATGATGCTTCTCCCAGTTTCCATCTCCCCAAGCACACATTTGCCACTTGCCAGCCCCACGTGGGTAGGAACTGAGTCTGATTTTGTCAACAGTATATAACTAGGCAGTAGGTACAGGGCTTGACACGTAGCAGGCAGGGACTCAGGGACTATCCATCAAGTGAAGGAATATTGCTCGGGTGAGTGAATAAACTCTGGGCCCCCTCCTGGCCATCTGATGCAGCAGTCCCTTCTTTTCAGAGGAGGAGGGGTCTTAGGTGAGGTAGTAGAATGAAGACACATAGAAGCCCCTGGGCATGTGAGATCTGCCCAGGACACATTTCTTATCTGACTCTGATTCCACACCCACTAACCTCAAACCATCCAGCAAGCAGCATGTCTCCTGTGACTCTTTCCTGCCTGCCGTCTTCCCAAGTAAACCAGGGCTTCTTAACTGGGATGGGGAGGTTGTGGGGCCGGGATGTGGGGTGGGGCATTTTTGTCTGTCAGGGTGATGGGAACAGAATCTATTGGTGTTTAGAGGGTGGGAGTCAGAGATCCTGTCCTGTGTGGACAGTGCCACCCAACAACCGTCACGAGTCCTGCATGATTCCTGGTGTCCCCACTTCTTGCCACAACACTCAAGTATGAAAAAAAAATTTTTTAATAAAATAAGTTGGGTTCTAGTTGAGATAATTACAGATATGCAATTTTGCATAGGGCTAAATTTCTAGGAATTAATTTATTGGAAAAATTAAGAGAAGATTATACTTATTTTATTCAGAGCTTTCATATAAGTTTTGCTGTTTTTTAATTTTTAAATTAAATTTATTGGCGTGACACTGGTTAATAAAATTATATGGGTTTCAAGTGTGCGATTCTATAACAGATCATCTGTGCACTGCCTCGCCTGTTCACCACTGCGAGTCAAGTCTCCTCCCGTCCACACAGGTTCGAACACCCTCCCCTCCCCATCCCCTCACCCCTGTGCACTCAGGGGACGACCATACTGTTGTCTGCGTCCATGAGTTTTTCTTTCTTTGGGCTTCATTTGTGCTTTCACTTTTATATCCCACGTAGGAGTGAAATGATACGGTTCTTGACTTCTTCTGTCTGACTTAATTTCATTTAGCATGATATTCTGTAGACCCATCCATGTTGTCCCAAAGGGCAGTATTTCATCTTTTCTCATGGCTGAGTAGTATTTCACTGTATATATGTACACATCTTTAGGCAGCTGTTTGTTGAAGGGCACTCGGTTGTTTTCATGCCTCGGCCACTGTAAATAATGTTGCAGTGAACATAGGGGTGCATATGTCATTGTGAATAAATATTTCCAAATTTTGGGGGTAGATACCCAGGAGAGGGGTTGCTGGGTCATATGGTAACTAACTCTATTCTTAATTTTTTGAGGAGCCTCCATACTGTTTTTCCATAGCAGCCGCACCATTTACATTCCCACCTGCAGTGATGTGGGTTCCTTTTTCTGAGCAGAGCTTCTTTACGAGTTGTTCCCCTTTCAGAAAATCATGTAACCAAGCAATGCTGTAGGTTGAACTGAGTTGCCAACAAAAGTCTACCATCTGCATTTGTAGTTATGGTGTTCATAGTGATTTTATCATAGATACAGTGTGAGTCCCTCTGATTGAAGATAGAAAACAATTTGTAAAAACTTAAAAAATTAATTATTCAAAAGGCACAACACAAAATAAATGTAAAGAACGTAAATAATTATACTTTCGAGGTCTTTCTTGGGAGGGAAACCTTGTAACACATCCCAAGTGTCAGTAAGACTCTTGGGGCACCCTTTACTTATTATTATATTAGAATAATATTAAAAGGAGCTGTAAGGCCTGATATTGTGGAGAACCAGTTACTTTGCACCCACCTGGAAAGAGCAGTTAGTTGAAACAGTCCAGTCATGAAAGTATGAGGAATCGAAATGTGCAGGGCAGTGGCCGAGAGCCAACTGACCTTGGCCTTACCCCTGCGCTCCCCAAGGCAAGCCGTGGGGCTTTGTAGAGGCGCGGTTGTCTAATTTATGAAATGAGTATCAGAAGGAACTGCAGTCTCCCTGAGCAGCCGTGGGAGCCAGGTGAGACGTACAGGACGCACTTGAAGACACGACACAAACCTGCAGGGCCTCTGTCCTCGGCCCGCCTCCACCTTCGCCCCTCCCAGTTATGCAAAGCGGTACTACTTGGCGGGCTAGGCAGAAAGCGGCGGGTGGTCTCCTTGCCCTCCGCTGCCTCGCCCGAGGGCGCCCGACCGCTCTCCAGGGTGTGCTGAGAGTTGGGCGTCAGCCCCGCCGGCAGCGCCCCCAAGCCTGCTGGACTCGTGTCTCTCTGCTCTGCCCTCTGTGCTTTCACAAAGCCCGGGTGTAGTCTGCACTTGGCCTTGGTGCCCGGGCTGCGGCGCCGGGTGGGGGCAGCGGCGGGACCTTTCCTGACCTCTCCTGGGGGCGGGGGGCACCTCGTTCTCCCCGCCTCCAGCCTCCGCCCCGGGGCGGGTGGGCGGGGCCCCAGCCGAGGCCCAGGGGCCCCGCAGGGAGCCGCAGCTTTTGCTGCGCCAGCGCTGTGGCCGGAGGCTGTGGCCGGAGGCTCCGCTCGCCACTGGGTAAGAGGCTTCCTGCAGCCGATCCCTGGCCCTGGGTCCTGGGCCCGGGGGCCCGGCGGGGACCGAAAACACCCCTGGGCTTGGCTGTAGACCCAGGTCTGCTCTTGCAGCCGGACTCGGCGGACTTGTGCCGCGCGTTCCATCCCGCTTCGCACTTACCCTCCCCACCCAGTACCCGCAGCTCTTTGCTTCCTTGTTTGGAATTTGGGGCTTGGGACACCTGCTTCCTTCTAGGAGTGTCCGGCCTTGGGGGCACCGAGGGGCTGAACCTTAGGGGCAGATAAAAACCGTAGGAACCTGTCTTGGTGTGGGAATTTCTGGCGCCTTCCACTTGTTGACTGTGTCACTCAGCACCGTCCCGAGCGGGGCGGATGCGCAACCTCCACGGCCTGTCGGAGGTTGGCGTTCGCCCACCTGCCACTGCGCCGACGCACGTACCCACCGACCGAGCGCGTGGGGCCGGGGGGCACTCGCTGAGCCAGCTGCACCTGTGGCGCGTGCTGAACTGAGTAGGCGTAAAGGGGCAAAAGAAAGGGTCTTCTGCAGGTTATTTTCTTTCCTGTTTATGTTTCCCTTGAATTACCAAAACTGACACCTAGCTTCTTGCTGAAAGACACAGAGCAGAGCCTCAGGCTTTGTGTGGGCTGCCCATCGCTATAACGTAGGTTTGGGCCGTGTCCCCCTTTAGCGGTTATGGGAAGACTTAACCCTTTCTCAGTACACTGCTTTTAGAAGTATAAAATAAAAGGCACAGTATTGTAAAAAAAACACAATTCCAAAGTACTTAAATATAAAACAATGTTTCAAGAAATAGGCAACACCTGTAATGTAAGAAAACACCTGTGACTTCTATTGGTGACAGTCATAACTACTGTTAAATTGCTGTGGGTGGTTTTTTTTGGCCTATATGTAATTAAAGAACGTGTTAAATTTTAGTTTGAGAGTGAAAAATAAAGATGAAAGTTGTTTATTTTTCCCCACTCAAGTCCGTGGGCCTCAAGTTAAGGTTCCCTGATAATGGAAAGGGCACTGAAAGTTAGGGGCCGTGGGTTCTGGTCTCGACATTTCCATTGACCAGCTGTGTGCCTTTGGGTTTTGAATTTTTTTGTGCCTTCTCTTCACTGTACAGTGGAGAAAAATCATGCTTTACAGTGTATTTAAGGTGCACTGCACCTGGTGAGAGGGGTGAAATGAGTACCATTTATTAGAACCTGCCTGTCTCCCTCACTGGACTGCAAACTCGTGGCCATCACTGTATCTCCAATCCTGGCACATGGAATGTACTTAGTAAATTTTTTAGAATGAATAAATGGATTGGAGAGGATTGCTTGTGGCTATATCTAAAAAACCAAAATTCATCAAGGAGAGAGTTGGTGGTTTGAGAAGTAATTGTTTAAAATTTGGGCTTGAAAGAAATTTAAAAAAATTGAGTTTTAGAGAGAGAAGGAGGTGAGGGAGAGAGATTTATTATTCCACTTATTTATGCATTCATTTGGTGGTTCTTACACGTATTTGTCAGGATGGGCTTTTTTTTTCTTTTAAACTGGCTGAACAAATATGTAAATAACACATTTGGAGTTGGAGTGCGTGAAATGTCGACCAGAGCTCCTGGGTCTGGGTGTAAGAACCTGTGGCTGGTGTCCTGCCAGAGAAAATGAAAAGAAGGATTTCTTTGCACAAAAGTTTCTCCTCCACCTCACTTGTGTCTTGGCTTGTTAATCCAAGATGTTGTAACACAGGAAATGTCTTATAGGGAGTGGAGTGATGATGAACCCATCATTACAGGGAACCCGTGATGAAATGTTTCCGGGCAGAGATGTACATTTCTCTCTCCTCTTTTCTTTTTGCCTTTCCCTGCCCTGCCACCTACTGCATGACTCCTTTTTGACCCTGGAGATTGGGTAAGTAGGAGAGGTGGTTGAAGCTGCAGAGACTAGGCCTGAAGTAAGTTAGTTGCTCTTGAATTCCCAGCCTTAAAAGTCTATGTAATCTAACAGATGTGGATGGTAATAGGCAAAAGGGAAGTAGGTCCTGCAGCCATCCCTGTGATTTACACTGTAAAAGTGCTACATTGGGGCAGGAAGGTGGGGAGCGGACTTGTAAAGAACAGGAGCTTAAGAGCACACTGGGCGGGTATCAACACCAATAACCTTGGAAAGTGCAGATACTGGTGTTATGGACTAAATTGTATCCCCTCAAAATTCGTGTGTTGAAGCCCTAACCCCCAGCACCTTAGAGTGTGAGTGTTCAGAGACAGGACTTAAAACATTATTTAATGTTAGATGAGACCGGTCCCAATCCAGTATGACTGGTGTCTTTGTAAGAAGAGGAAGAGGCACTGGGCAGGCCTGGTTATAAACCTGTGCCATTCTTTGCTGCAGGGATGCACAGCTCCGATCAATCTGAGACGTGAGTAGAACAAGTATTCCCATTTGAGTACCTGCTTGTGAACCTGTACTTCCCTTTTCTGCTCATTTAGAGGATCACAGAGTTTTAGAAAAGGAAGGGACCTTTGAAGCCGTCCAGTGCAATCCTTTATCCACTGAAGATGAAACAATGCCGAGAACAGTAAAGGACTGGCCCTACCAGGCACTGCCTGGGGTGTGAATCTGGGTCTCCCAGCCCCCGATGCACCCTCAAGACAAAACCTCACCAGGATGGGGACCTGTGCCATTTGGTTGGACATAGGGAAGACATGAGCTTGGGGAGCCCGGTACAACTGTTACCTAGCCTACTCCTCATCTTTCCTAAACTAACCAGTAAAGGATTCAGTTTAGCATCTCTTCAATCATTTGCGAACAACAGACGTATAATTGGTAATTAAATAGTCTTTTCTCATTGCGTTAAGCTCTCACATGCTTATTTTCAGGAAGTAATATGCCTGACTAATTGGCCAGTGTCTGTTGAAAAAGAAACCCCACCCTTTGAGTCTCCTTGTATGTGAGATGCTGAGTGGGAATCCCAGCACTTCTGAGGCTGGTGAGTGATTTTACTGTGACCACTGAACGGATTCAGGAGACAAGGCCCGAGCTGATCCCTGCTGTGTGACTGGGGGGAGTAAATTAATTCCACACCAGGCCTCTCCTGAAAAGGAACCTTCTGTGTACTTGACTAGAGGCTGACTGTGAAGGATGAACTTGAAGGGGAATTACACTGTGATGATCTATGCACTAGAACATGAGTGTTCAAGGTCCCCCTGGCTAAAGTAAGCAGAAAAACAAGGCATATAATTCAGTCAAGACCTTTAACTTTCAGTTGAAATAATCCAATTGACTTATTTTCTGCTTCTGGAGCCATAAAGTAAGCATTTTCCTTCTGTAAGTATAATTTCTATTTTTTGCTTAGAAATGTGTGACTTAGTGAAATTGTCAGTGCCTCCCCTTTAGAAGGCTTTCTGGTTGTAAAATGAGTGGAGGCCAGGGACACTTGCAGAAAATCTCTCAGCAGCAAAGGGAGCCACTGTTCATTGCCAGCTCCTCATTAGTAACCCTTAATCAGTGACTCTTTCAAGAAAATTCCTACCATTTGCCTGTAGGGAACTAAAGAAGCCCAGTATGGCTAACCCCTGAATCGTTGGGGAGCTGGATATGATTGTTTCCTGGACAATTTGCTCCTTGTCCACTACTGAAGTCTTGCTTCACAGCTTAATATTTAAACAACTGTTTGATAATATTTACTTTTTTATTTTATTGATTTTTAGAGAAAGGAAGAGAGAAAGAGAGAAAAAAAACATGAATTTGTTTTTCCCCTTATTTAGGCATTCATTGTTTGTTTCTTATATGTGCCCTGACTGGGGAATTGAACCTGCAACCTCGGTGTGTCGGATGACACTCTAATCAACTGGGCTACGCAGCCAGGGCCAATATTTAACAATATTTAAACAGCTTCAAAGGCAGAGTTTTCACTTGGCTCTGCAGGACTAAATGGAGATTGCTTCATGTTCTTTACCTGTTAACAAAATAGCAGTCCAGCTCTGGAACACGCATAGCGCTGCCATTACTCAATGGGAGGTGTGCCAAGAGGAAGGGCGCAGCCCGAGTAATCCCTGTGCAGCCACGCATGCGATTTTCATTTCCTGCTCTCACCCCGCTCTGGACCTTGACGGCACTTTGAGCAATCCACCACTGTTGTTGCTCACACCCTCTCTTCCTTATCGCCTCTGGAACACAGTCATAGTTCACATGCTTCCTTCTTTGTCCTCTATGGCCAATTTTCCATAGAAATACCTTCGACATGTGTTTTGCATTTATACCTTTGTCTGTGTTCTCATTGTCTAATCTAAGCCCTTACTGGTGATTGAATTTCTGCAACTGCCACTTGCAGACCTTCACATTCTGGGTCTTTCCTGTTACAGGACGGACAGACTCTTCGTATTCACCACCATCTCTGCAGTGCCTAGCGCAGTGCTCGGTACATAGGACACACTCAGAAATGCTGAGCTCAGCTGGATTGTTCCAGTTTGTCCTCTCAACTTTCTTCAAGGTGTCTTTGAAGACATCTATTTTGTTAAGAACTTCTAAGGACTCTCATTGCCATTAGCGGGGACCACAAGCTCAAAATGGGTGCCAGGGCCCAGCAGGTGACATAAATAAGTGCCATTGGCCACGTGGGGCTGGCGTGAATGGGATCTTCATGCAGGACGTGGATGGGCCATGACTGCTCAGCCAGGTGTCGACATGTGACACTGTGGGCCCATTGTTGTCAGGCCGAACGCCTGGAAATTTTTAGGCAAGACATGCAAACATTTTAATCTTGGCACTAATTTAAAATTTAAGAGAACACTGTGAGGCGAACAAAACACAGCTCTGCTGTGCATTGGGAGCCTGGTCTGCATTTGGCCTGCAGGTGGCTACTTTGTGACGGACCCCTAGCTGGGGCTATGATTGTCCAGGAGTAAGACCCCAAACCAAAACTTTGTTTACATACGTCTTTCCAATCTAGTTTCTCTCTCTTCCCAGTGGACATCTACCTTAGGCTGCCTTCTTCCTTGACCATAGTTATGCGATGCTCATTCTAGGTGATTCTACTTCCCAAGCCTCAAACCTGCCCACCCTAACCCAGACAGACCCTTGCCTTCACTGTGCTCTTCCTGCCCGCATAAATCCCCTCTATTCAGCCACCTGGATGTCAGCTTTGACCACCCCCCAAGGGCTCTTCCTACCTCTCATGCAGTCACCCCCCTTTTCCTACCTCTGTCTTGCCTGAATCTTTGTGTTCCTAATGCCAGCACCTAATCAGGCCCTTGTCACTCACCTGGACCACTGCACTAGTCTCCTGTCTTCCAGACCGGGTTTTGTCTCTCTTCCAATTTAATTCCCCCCCCCCCCATGAGATTCATTTTTCTCAAAGCTGCTGCTCTGTTCCATTGCTTCTCAGAACTTTGATACTTCACTGGAAAGCTGCAGGTCCACAGCATGACCCTTTATAACTGGCTTATGATGTCCCTTTCTTGTTTGCTCCTCACAACATCAGTCAAATCGGGTTGGACTTGCGTTGCCCAAACATACTCTTTCCCACCTTATCAGCAAAGGATTCTGGGAAACGGTACACTCATACAGGTTATTAAGAAAGGCTTAACAAAATACCTATTTACAAAGGTGTGGACAAGTTTAAGGTGAAGCCATTGTATTGCTCTGGGGCCTGAAGAAGCAAGTAGAGGGAGCGATTTCTAGTGGCCCAGGAGGGAGGGGTCTGAGGAATAAATATCCCAATCTTGCTCTTATTCCAGCCTCTAATCTGGTTGAACTCAACTGGAAGCCAGAGGACAAGGCAGGCCAGATGGTACGTGCCCTGCAGGTCAGTGATCAGGGCTCAGAGAGGGCAGAGAAGGCTGGAGAGAGATTTGGAGGGCAGACACTGTCTCTTGGTTCATTTATTTAATGCTATTTCCTTCTCTCGGTGCATTCTTCTGTGAAAAAGCCGCCAGTCTTTTACCTCCTGCTCAGATTCTGTCCATTCCATGAAGCTTTCATTGATTATTCCTACTCTTGCCAGAACACCCAAGGCATTCCACTCATATTGATTACACTGCACTTTGCTTCTGCTAGTTAGAGCTAAACTGGAATATCAACGCAGGTTTTTGGAAGCCAAACCGAACTCCCCTTCCACTCATCCAGAGTTGCTGTAGGTGTTGGAAAATAATGGTAGCCCATTTCTTACAATTGTTCCTGAGAAGTTGACCAGAGACATCAGTACTATACTCTTGGTAGACTGCAGAGGTTTCCTGCCTAGACCATCCCAGGGGGTGCCCAGATACTTCATACGTGTCTGGGGGGCACCAGTCTCCAAAAACACCAAGAGGTTTCAATCTCTGTGGGAAAATAAATGCATCAAAATGCCAACTAGTAACTGAGGGACAACAAAAAAGTTGGAAGAAGGGCAAGATAAGTAACAAGACTTGTAGAATCATCCTGGGCTGGTGGAACTAGAGAAGCTGGGATGTGGGCCATGGCTAAGATAGGAAACAAGAAAGGGCATTTAAGAGGGCACAATAGAGGCAGGAAGAGGGACGAACGTGTATTCCATTCCACTAGATTGTAAGCTCTGTCAGCACAAGGACTTATGTGACACGTTCACTGTTTGTTTTTTCCCCCAGCACCTAGGACAGCTCATGACCCAGTGAAGCATCTCAGTAAGAGTTTTAGTTTGTTTGGGCTGCTGTAACAAATACCACAGACTTGGTGGCTTATAAAAAACAGACTTTTACTTCTCACGGTTCTGGGGGCTGGAAGTCCAAGATCAAGGTGCCAGCATGGTTGGTGAGGGCCTTCTTCCCAGCTGATGGTTGATGCCTTTCCCCTGTGTCCTCACATAGTAGGAGGGGCTCAAGGTCTCTCTTAACCCTCTTTACATGGCACTCATACACTCACAAGGGCTCCAGCCTCATGACCTGATCACCCCCAACAGATCCACCTACTAATACCATCACCTTTGGGGGTTAGGCTTGCAATATATGAATTTTGGGGAGACACAGACTTTCAGACTGTGGAATGAATTAATGGATTGATGGATTTATTCAACACCTTTATATGTCAGATGTGTACATATGAATGGAGGTAACACTGTATTTATTTAAAAACTGTATTGGGTGTGGAGGAAAACACAAAGCACTAGGACCCATCTTCACTCAAGCCAGACAGAGATACGCACCTCTGACAACGCATAACATTCCAGTATTTACTCAGTCAAATTTTTAAAACATTTTCTGCAATATTGTCTTTTTATTGTATTGTTTCCATTACCATTTATTCCCCTTATACCCCCTCCCACCCCAGCCATCATCACACTTGTCTATGAGCCCTTTTTTCTTTTTGTTTGATCCCTACCCCTGCTCCTTAGCTGCCATCCTTCTATCTATGAGTCTGTCTCTATGTTACTTAGTTCAATTTGTTCATTAGATTCCACGTATGAGTGAAATCATATGGTATTTGTGTTTCTCTCACTGGCGTATTTTACTTAGCATAACGTCCTCTAGGTCCATTCATACTGTCACAAAGGGTAACATTTTCTTCATTTTTTATGGCTCAGTAGAATTCCATTGTGTAAATGTCCCATGGTTGTTTTATCCACTCGCGCTGCTTCCGTATCTTGGGGATTGTAAATGATGCTGCAATGAACATAGGGATGGGGTGCTTATGTTCTTCCAAATTAGTGTTTTGGGTTTCTTTGGATATATTCCCAGAAATGGGTTCTCTGGGTCAAAAGGCAGGTCCATTTTTAATCCTTTGAGGTATCTCCATACTGCTTTCCACAGTGGCTGCTCCAGTCTGCATTTCTACCAACACTGCAAGGGTTCCCCTTTCTGCACATCCTCACCAGCACTTGTTTGTTGATTTATTGATGACAGCCACTCCAACAGGTATGAGATGATATTTCATTGTGGTTTTAATTTGCATTTCTCTGATGATTAGTGACATTGAAGATCTTCTATGTTTATAGGCCATCTGCATGTCCTCTTTGGAGAAGTGTCTATTCAGGTCCTTTGCCCATTTTTTAAATGGGCTATTTGATTTTTTGGTGTTGAGTTTTGTAAGTTCTTTATACATTTTGAATATCAACCCCTTATCAGAAATATTGGTGAGTATGTTCTCCCTTTCTGTGGGTTGTCTTTTTGTTTTGTTGATGTTTTCCTTTGCTGTGAAAAAACTTTTTAGTTTGATGTAGTCCCATTTGTTTGTTTTTTTCTCTTGTTTCCCTTGCCTGGGGAGATATATTAGATAAAATGTTGCCCCAAGTAATGTCTGAGAATTTGCTGCTATGTTTTCTTCTATGGTTTTTATGGTTTCAGGCCTAACATTTAAATTTTTAATCCATTTTGAATTTACCATTCTAATATTTAAATTAGAACTTCTAATATTAAAAAAACCTTTTTCTTGAAATTCGGCTCACCTTATTGTTTTTTTTAAATTTATTTTTATTTTTATTTATCTTTAGAGAGAGGAAGGAAGGGCGAAAGAGGGGGAGAGAAACATTGATGTAAGAGAGAAACATTGATTGGTTGCCCCTTTCACATCTCCACCTGGGGAGCTGGCCTGCAACCTGGGCATGTGCCCTGACTAGGAATTGAACCAGTGACCTTTAAGTTGGCAGGCCAATGCTCAATCCATAGAACCACACCAGCCAGGGTGGCTCACCTTTTTCTTGACCTACATCATCCATAGCTGAGAGGCTCTGCTATTCATCCCTTAGCACCTAAAGCTGATAGGCTGGGCATGGCACCAGGACTGGGCTGGGGAAATTTCTGTCCATCAGCATGGGTCCTTGTGTGTGGTAGGTGCTCAGTGAATGCTTGTGGAAGCATTCTTAGATACAGCAGAATCGCGACCATGCAGGTTTCAGGTAACTCTGTTCTTTCTGTAATCACACACACACACACACACACACACACACACACACACACACACATTTAGCATAGCTAAATGTAATTTAATTCATGTAGGGAATAACTCTGTAAATAAAAATATAGCTTAGATTATGTTTCTTGGTTTTTGGTTCTGCAAATTTAGCTACTATATGATTGAGACAAGTATAGTGTAGGTATAAACCTTGAATTTGCATGTATATTTATATCCTGTAGAAGAGTCTCTTCTTAAACACCTTTCTGAGTGCTTCTGGCTGGTGACGCTTGCCCTTTATCAAAGTTAAAGAGTAAAGACATGTGAAAACTTTCCTCAGTGGAGAAGCTACCTAAAGTTTCAGGACAGCAGGTGATAGAGTAGGACAAAGGCAGACCAGGTGCTGTGTTCTTTCAGAATAATTGTTTCATTAAAAATCATACTCTAGCTATGTTATTTAGCTACAAGAATTTAGCCCACTTACCTACATAATTTTAATGTTGTACAATAATATGTAATTAAATTTCTTAAAATGCCACCTGACAGATCACTGGATATGTAAGGAGAAGAGCAGGGCAGAACTGTGTTAAGCATGTATGATCTTCCATCCGGACAGTCAGTGAATGCGTGTTAAGGTGGGTTATTACAATGTACCTGGGCTTTGTTTTAATTAGGTGTGGTGAGGCCAACACATGGGGAGATGACCGCCGTGAAGGGAGACCTTTTCCTTACAGTTACCTAGGAACAGGAGGCATCGCACACCGCACAGGGCTGGCTGCACAGGGAAGTACTCAGGTTGGTCAGGAGGCAGAAAATTTGAGGGGAAAGCATGGACAAAAACGTATATGTGGTTTCTGTGAGGCAGGGGGAACAAGCTGACCAGGTTTGGGATGGGCCGATCTGTAGGATTTTCATGTGCTCTGGGGTGTAGGGGCTGCCCTTGTGGTCTGGTGTCGCCTTGGGTTGATGAGGGCAAAGGAGTGCCCCTTCTAGAGTGTGATGGCCAGGCAGACCAGGTGGGTCTCGTATGGGCTCTGGGTTGGTTATCAGAAACACACTCCCAGACAAGAGGCTTACTGTTTTCAGGAACTAGCTAATCCTGGGAGGGGCAGTATTTTCTAATTTTGATTTTTTTAATTCATTTTTTAAATTAAATTTATTGGGGTGACATTGGTTAGTAAAATTATATAGGTTTCAAGTGTGCAATTCTATAGTACACCATCTGTACACTGCATTGTGTGCTCACCAGCCAAAGTCGGATCTCCGTCCGTCACCATGTGTTTGACCCTCTTTACCCTTTCTAACTCCATTTCCCTCTGGTAACCACCCTGCTGTTATCCACGTCTTTGTGAGTTTTCCTTCATTTTTGCCTGTTCATTTGTTCCTTATAGTTTTGTATCCCATGTATGAGTGAAATCATATGTTTCTTGACTTTTTCTGACTTATTTTGCTTAGATTAATATTCTACAGATGCATCCATGTTGTCCCAAATGGCAGTATTTCTTAGTGGTCGAGTGGTATTTCATGGTATATATGTACCACCTCTTCTTTATCCAGTCCTCTGTTGAAGGACACTTGGGTTGGTTCCATGTCTTGACCACTGTGAATAATGCTGCAGTGAACATAGGGAGGCATATATCTTCGTGAAGAAATGTTTTCAAAATTTTCAGGTACTACCCAGAAGAGGGGTTGCTGCAAATTTATTGATTTTATGAGCTCATGGTAACTCCATTCTTAATTTTTTGAGGAACGCCATGCTGTTTTCCATGGTGGCTGTGCCGGTTTACATTCCCACCAGCAGCGAAGGCGGGTTCCTCTTTCTCCACGACCTCTCCAACACTTGTTGTTTATTACTTGTCCTGTTGGTAACAGCTGTTATAACAGGTGTGAGGTGGTATCTCATTGTAGTTTTGATTTGCATGAGAGGGGCAGTTTTGTTAGGACTAACAAAGCCCCATAATGTCAGTCATAAAATATGGAAAATTTAAAAACTAAAAAACTGTTGTCTAAGCCAGTGCCACAAACATGATGGCTTACTTTACTTGCATGTACTTCAGACTCAGATGAGATTATGTTTAGGGACCGTAGCATTTATGGCACAATGTTTGGCATTTTCTTGTCATCCAAAGTGGTATGGATTGGTCACAGAAACTGTTTCTTTCCTGAGCTTTTCCCAGATTTGGACCTGTCCTTTTATAGTTTAAGTCAGAGGGTATGGTGGCTCATTCTTTGTGTCCAGTCATTTGGTTGCACGGTATTCTGGGTGTGTTCGTGAGGGTGTTGCCGGAGGAATTGGCAGCCTGCGTGACCCAGATTTGGCCACCCCAGCCACCCCACCCACTGTGGGTAGCTTCTTCCAATCAGTTGAAAGTCCAAACAAATAGGCTGACCCTCCCACGAATCCTTTCTGCCTAACTGGGTTTTCTCTTGTCTTCTCACTTGAACTGCAGTGTCCGCTCTGCCTGGGACTTGAGCCTGCTGACCTTCGGACTGAAACTACACTGTTTGCTCTCCTGGGTCTCTACCTTGCTGATTGCTGGCTTGAGACTTGTCAGCCTCTATAACTGCGTGAGTCAGTTCCTGGGAGTGTCCTCTATGTAACAGGGAAAGTGGTGATGTTTGCTTTGGTTCCCTCATTCCTTCTCTTCCAGCCCCTCCAGCTGAATCCTGGTTTTGTCCTTTATTGGCTGTGTGGCCTTGAGGATATAACCAGTTTCCTGGAGCTTTTTTCCCCCCAGTTGTAAGATGCGGATGATGCTCTTACCTCGAGCACCTAGCATGGGGCCCGGCACATAGGAAGCTGCTGTAGGGCTGTGATGAGCCAGTTTCACAGTAGGAATCAGGACCTAGCTTCAGACTGTCCGAAGTAGCCATGTTGTCCTGGGCAGGGGTGGGGGACTGACAGAACTTGGGACTGGTTGAAGGAGGGCACCACTAGTTCAGCTTGTCCCAGAGAGGTGGCCAGAGTGCCCCAGAGGAGAGTTGTAGGCACTAGAGGTGGATTTACTCAGAAGCAAATGAAGTTTCCTTCAAGGCCTCCCTCTTGCACAGGCCGGGGTGGGTGCAGGGAGTTCTGAAGTGATCCAGGAGAGGAGGGTTAGCCCGGCTGTAACCAGGAAGCATTTTTATGCTTGTGTGTATTTCTGGTAACTTTCCTAAAAGAGATCTCAGAATAAAGAATCCCAACTCTCCAAGGATTCAGACATTTATTGTGATTTTTCCCATTCAAAATTAATAGTAACTATTATATTTAATTTCATATTTATAATTTTGATTCCCTACATTGTATAGGTTTTAATGCCCTTTAAACCTGAATCTGCCCCTGCCTGGAGGCCTGCCCCTCTGGGAGATGGTGGGCGGGCCCCGTGGTGTAGCACTTCTGTCCTGCCTGCCCAGCAAAGAGGCCAGAGGGAGCTGGGAGAAGGTGCAGACTGGGAGCTTCTTTGCTTCTGAATTGCTAGCTCCTGCTGATGCCTGCATTGTTGCTCCAAAGGGCATTCAGACTGCTCACTCATTGCATGACCTTCAGAAGATCACCTTTCTTCTTCCAGCCTCAGTTTCCCCACTCGTAAAGTGGTGGCGTTCATACCTTTAATGCGGGTTCTGTGAATTGTAGAGCTACAGAGCTATACACATAGGGGGAAGTCATTATAATTTTGATGCTATTACATGTATTTCTGTTATCTTGCTATTACTTGAAATATGCCCAGGTCTTAATATTTCAGTGACTAAAGAGTGAAGCCAGTGTCCACTCTGATACTCTGATTTTTGTTTAGACTAGGGCCTGGAGCCATTGGCCAGTGATGTCAGTGGGAGGTGCCCGGCAGGTTGTCTCCTCTTTCAATCAGCAGGCATTACACTTCTCCAGTAAGACTACAGGGCCTGGAGCCATTGATACACACACACATGTACACATATATACACATATATACATATTCACAGTTCCAAAGTGGGATGTTAAGTAATTCCAGTTACTCATTACTGCCCTGTGTTGTTTGTCGTCTTTGGCACAGCACCACACCCCACCTTTTCCGCAGACAACGTTAGAGTATTGTTCTGGTTTTTCTGATCTGGAAGTTAAGCGGCTTTACATCATTAGAATGAGAGTGTTCTTGAGATTTTCAGGAGTCTTGAAACTTGGAACATTTTCCCTCACACATTTTTTGGTGTGTTTTTGAAATTGTCTCTACTATGCAAATGAATTTTGACTACAAAGGCCAGGTATTCTGCTTGATGGCTGTTATTAAAGAGGATAAAACTGTTTTGGGAGGATTTGGTGTTTATAAATACCGATTCCAGAGATGAGCGTGGGTAACAGCTGAAATGAAAGTTACCTGCTTGTCTGAGTGCAGGAAATATTTACGTAAATGCTTCCTCTTTCAGAGGACGAGCCATGGGGTGTTAGGCTGCAAGGGAAGTTGAGGCCGAATAACCTCACGTGGAGAGGGAGGAAATTAGCAACTTAGCCCGGCCTCCCTCTAGAGCACTGTTTTAATACATGGTGTTAGGACCGCGAAAAAATGGTGCCCCTTTTCTGGGAAGTCAGGAGTGTCGCCGGGATTCTGGCATTCTGTGGGTATTTTTGAAAAGCAGATGTGACGACTTCCTACTCACCATAAAATATCTTTCCTACTCACCATAAAATATCTTTTTCCTTTCCTGCCAAACAGCAGCATCCTAATTGGGGATCTCCTCCACTCCTCAACCATAAAACAAAATCAAATCGAGTGATTTAAAAAATTTAAAACAGTACAGTTCATCAAAGAAAACTTGAGAAAAGCACGAAGATGTGAATTACAGTTATACTAATACATTGCTAATATTTAGGTGTCAGTACCATGAAAAATGATTTTTCTCTTTTCTGGGAAGTGTGGAAAAATATATCTTTAAAAAAATTTAACCTTGTCACATTATCGCTGTGTTGTTGTTGGTAAAGATCACGGAGATAGCAGAGTGTAGTGATTTAAAGAAGGTTCTGGCACCAGAGTGCCTGAGTTCAAATCACCGTCTATCATCTGTAAAATGGGGACAATAATGGCAGCCTACTTACAAGTTAAATGCTTATATAAAGGACTTAATATATGTTAGTTATTATTATCAATGTATTTTATTTTGAGAGTATCATGCTAAGAGAAGTGTCAGTGAAAAAGTCTAAGAATCATAGGATTGCACTCAGATGTGGGATGTAAAACTGACGCAGACACAGGTAACAGTACCCGTGGTCGCCAGAGGGTTGGGGGTAGGGGTCAGTGCGGGGTCAAGGGGGCCACATACATGGTGACAGAAGATGGTTTGACTTTGGGTGGTGGGCACATAATTCAGTGTACAGATCATGTATCATAGAATTGCACACTTGAAGCCAACATAATCTTATTAACCAGTGTCACTCTAATAAATTTAATTAAAAGAGGAAAAAATGATCATTGCAACATTAATGTATGTATATGGTAGAAATTTCATACAATACAGAAAAGCATAAGAATCAAAATTACCCATTATTCTAAAACCTAGAGAAAACCACTCAGCCAGGGTTAACATTTTGCCGTCTTTTTTAGTGCATTTTCTCTTACCATAGTCGAGCTCAATTTCTCATATCGTATTCCAATTTGCATACTGATCACAACATGAGCACTTTGTGTGCTCTTTGCAAATATGATTTGGAAGGACCTATATAGTCTTTTATAATCATCTTGTGTAAACATATTTTATTTAAGCTTTCCCCAAAGTTCTGACATTCAGACTGCCATCCCTGCCCTCCCTCCAGCCCCCCATATTAAATTGAAGTAATCATAAATTAATCTTGGTTGAAATAGTCTGGGACCTGACCTTTCCCCAGCCAGGGTAGAGTTTTTTCTGTGACCTGGATCCAATCCAATCTACAAACCAGTTAACCAGGGGTTGATCCTGCATTATGAATGAATATGTGAGATACATCTTTAAAGGTTTGTCTTCTTCAGTATTAGAGGTTATTTCTTAGACCAGAGTCCCAGACATGGAAATACAGGGTCAAAGGATGATAAATGTTATTTTCTAAAAGGGTCTTACAGATCTGAAGCTTGCAGCAGCAGTGTCTGAACCTGCCTCACTTTCTGTGGGTCCCCAAATCGCTGGGTCACTTCTCAGATCTGAAACGCTGGTCAAGGTGCCAATGCACTGGAACCAAGTTCATCCTCATTAAAGTCAGCTCTCTGGCTCCTCCTCACTTCCTCTTGTTTCTCCCTTCTCCAGGGCCTTTCCTTCTTCCTGTCAGAGCCCTTTTCCCTCTCAGCATTCTCCAATCCCCTTAGGTAGCTTTTCTCTTCTCCAGTTTTGAGGGAAGATGGTATAACTAAATCACTCCCATTAAAAAGTTAGTGATCTGAGCAGATAGAAGTGTTAACCCCAGCTGCGTCCTTGCATTTGAATAAGGGGTTCCTGGAACAGTTTGTTGAACCCGAAGAAGTGAACCTGATGTAGGAATTTGGGGCATGGTAATACCCAGGGAAGGAGATATTTTGGATCTGGGCCCTTCCAGTTCTTCAAGTAGATGGTACCCAAGACATCAGGCCAGTTCTGTGGGTGGGAAGAAGCCAAGGCCTGTGTCTGAGAAACCTTCATTTCCTCACTGCCTTAACATTCAGAGCAGACATGCCTTTTTCTAAAGGTTAAGTGTGTCTCCCTGAGAAACTATTAAGGGGAAATTGTTTATTGGTTGTATATAATAAAAGACTGGTCAGCAGCACGTGTAGATTCTTCACATAAAATATAATTTTATGATACCAGGCAGGACTCTTTTTACGGCCTTTTTATCATCTGGTTGAAATTGCCAAAGGGGTGAAGGGCCTTTGCTTGTGTGTCTGTAGCCCATGAGTTGATGAAATGGCGTGTCCCCAAGCAAGCAGAGTCAGGAGGCTCTGAGTGGGGCCCAGGCCCTGACTTCCTTGGTGTGAACTCTGACTGAAGAGGGTGGGTTTCCTGCTGGACTATTTCCATTTCAGCAAGGTCTCGGGGGCCGCATGCCAAGGACATGTACAGGTGTCAATCTGCAGACTCCCACGTCTTTGGTGGACTGAAAAGACAGAGAGAGTTGAGGTGTGTGTTCGAGAGGAGAATGGGTGACAGCTGGAGGCAACCACAGGATGCCCCAGAACTTTTGGATGGACAAGGATGAGTACAGACAAACTATTGGAACTTAAAAGATGTGGCTTACTGGGTTCAGACAAAGTCCTAGATGCCCTAAAAGAAGGAGGAAGGGGACAAATGGAAGCTTAGGCTGTGGTTCGTTACCAATCTGTGCTGCCAGGAGACTTGGGCACCAGGCCAGCTGGGGAGGAGGTCTTGAGGAGAGATTGTGGGGCTGGGTGCCAGCCCCCTTCCTCCGGAAAAAGTGCTTTGGTCACGTAGTGGTCCCTTCCTCACTCATAGCCTTGTCTGTTCCTTTCTAGCTGGATCTAGTGTGAAGATGACCCCGCTGGTCGCTGCGGTGTCCGGCCCCCGAGCCCGGCTCCTCACCTGCTTTCTCAGGCTGGGTGCTCAGCAGGCCAGCTCACTTCAGCTGCACACAGGGGCCGGCCTCGCAGCCACGAACCACTATGAGGTGCTCGTGCTGGGTGGGGGCAGTGGAGGGATCACCATGGCCTCCCGTATGAAGAGGAGAGTGGGTGCAGAGAATGTGGCCGTTGTGGAACCCAGTGAGGTACATCTGCATCTTCTGAGTATGTGTGTGCGCACACGGGCCTGTGTGTGCTAGGGGCGGGGTGGCTGTCAGGTGCTGGGCTGTCAAGTCCCCAGGTTAGTGCTTTTGGGCACAAAAATCAGTCCAAAAGGACTGGAGAAGGCAGAGGGAGGGAAAGAGGACAGATCTCTTGGCTTTTTATATTCTCTAGGTGAATTTCTTAGGCCTGCGTAACAGATCACTGCAAACTGAGTATCTTAAAACAAGAGATACTTATTCTCTCACAGTTCTCTTAATTTGATTACATCTGCCAAGACCCTATTTCCAAATAAGGTCACATTCATAGGTACCAGGTTTAGGGCTTCAGCATAACAGTCCACGAGGCCCTCTGCCTTCAACATCATGTCCAGAGGAGAACCGAGGGTCCTTGCACTGTGCTACCTCTGGTCCAGTCTGGAGAAAGGGTGTTGAGTGCAGGGACAGGGAGGCCTCTGGGATGGTATCAGTGGGTTTCAGGAATTTAAATACAAGGAATTATAAACAGGTTATAAGGCAGAAAAAGGCAGTGAACACCAGGAGGGAAGTTGGGAAATGTTTGTATGTAAGGCACTATTTCATGAAAAACATTTAAAAATTGTCCAAAAGCAACAGATAAATATTCAAGATTTTTGATTGTTTGTCTAGGTTTCCTAAGGAACCAGGAATGCACCAGATGGGAACTGTTTCCTTTTGGTGTGTGTGGGAGGAGGAGTAAAATGGATGTGGTGCCTGTTTGGTGGGGAGGGGCGGGCAGGAAAGGCGCACTGCTTTCCAAGAAGTCTCTCCCATACCGGGGCTGCCCGGCTTTGATGCAGGCCCTGGCTGGCGTGCTGCCATCTGAGAGGAGACCAGAGGGTGCTGTCTGTTATTTTCCTCCTTAAAGTGACTAGTTCAGGGACGACATTTTAAATGACAGTGGTCTGAGAGCTATGTCCGTTGGCCTTTGTAGCTAACCCATAGATAGAGGCTGCTCTCTGTAATGAGACAGTGGCTGGACACAGTTCAGGATGCCAGGGCACGTCCGGTTTGCCCCTTGTCTCGAAAGAGCTGCCAGTGGCTCACGCGGTTGGCACTTCCTCTCCTGTGTCTGGTTCAGGGATTGCTGGGGCTGATGCTTATTTGTAGTGTAAAAAAAAAAAAATCCAAGCTTGTGTTTTTATTCCTTTTTCTGTCCAAGGTGGACTTGAAATCATTGAGGTCTCCTGCCTGGAGACCTCTGTTCTGTCCTTTGGGATCATGTCCATTAGTAGCAATGGGGAGATTGCAAAGCTATTCTCAGTTCACTCCTCCACTGGCAATTCTGCCCAGCCAAGGCTGAGGTGCTGGGCAGCGCTGAGAACTCTGGGTCCCCAGTGCACTCCATCAGTGAACTGGGATTCTCAGTGCCATTGAACTAGCTCCCCTTAGCCCCTTCACAACTACCTTGGTTCCTGAGTAGATCATCTGAAGCAAGAAGACTTCAGAAAACAGTGGGAGTTTGGGCATATGTTGAATTATGGGGTAGCATCTGGCGCCTCCAGGCTTTGGGTGTAAACCTTCTGGGAAAGGAGAAGGGGGCTACCAGGGCTGATGGGGAGTGTCTGTGCCTTCCACAGGCTTGGCACACACGGTTGGAAGTTAATGAGGTTTTGAGGATTCCCAGAGTGGCCGTAAACTTTTCAGACTTGCCAGAGTCCCCATGAACTTCTGAGGAGCCATATTTAGGCTACCGGCCTTACTTTTTCTTTATATCTGTGCACATAAATGTATCCATAATGTGGGTATATATACATGTATATATAACATGTTAAGCCCCAAAGTGATGATCTTGGTAGAATCTTTGTAGGTGACTACCCTTCACAGTTTAACAGACTAGGAGACACTAATGACAGGTGGGTGGGGAAGGCTCACCTGGCGACTTTCTGTGTGATCCTCCGGGGGTCAGGAGGGAGCAGTCGAGAGTCTGGCACATGCATCTTTAGCTCTGACACTTTGTCAGCCTCAAGTTGAAAGGAATCTCCAAATGCTTTGTTTCTCAGAGACATTTCTACCAGCCCATCTGGACGCTGGTGGGTGCCGGCGCCAAACAGTTGTCCTCGTCTGGCCGTCCCACGGCGAGTGTGATTCCGTCTGGTGTGGAGTGGATCAAAGCTCGAGTGGTTGAGCTGAACCCAGACAAGAACTGCATCCGCACAGACAACGGCAAGGAGGTAACCACTGGATCCTTCGGCTTTGGTTAATCTGAGGGCTTGTGTGAAACGCACTGCTGTTATCAAACTGAACAGCTTCATGGTGGGAGGGTGGTATTTATACGTGTGTGCATGTGTGTGTGAGTTAAATACTGCACAAGATGGGAGGGGTGTGGTGAATGGGAGATGGGATAGACAGAAGGACCGAGTGATGTGGAATTTTATGAATGAACAACGAAGACAAGTATTTGCGCATACCCACTGTTTGCCCTATTGCTTGGTACAGTATCTTGCATTGGAATGTTTACTGAACAAATAACACTGTTACATGTTAAAATGGGAGACACCTTCCTCCTTTTTCCTTTGAAGCTGCCAGCTTTTCTACCTTATAGCTGGCTTCCCAGAGGAGGGGGATGTTTGAATATATCCATTCCAGTCACACTGAGGGGCACTCTGCCAGAGTCATGAGGGAACAGTGTGACTGAGGTTTGTGCCAGGGCTAAGGAGAATTGTGGTTGCTGGAGCTTGAGGCTCGTAATGGATCAGCACCATTTGGAAGTCTCTGCTACCCCCACCACCCAGGGATCAAAGCTTTTCAGACACTGCTGCCCCTGTGTTTGACCGGGGGCTTGAGAACAGGATGGTGAGACCACAGGCTCAGAAGCCATCTGCAGCATCATGGCCCCTCATCTGCCGCTGAGCCGAGGACAGCAGCAGGCAGCTGTCATGCTGTACCCTGCCTGTTCCAGCCTCCCATGGTTCTTGGGGCCCTGGGGTGATACTGGCCTTAATATCCTTCCTGCTTGCTCTCCAAATTGGGCACTCTGTCATTTAAACAGAACTGTAGAATTTGAGAGTTGGTAGGAACTGAAAGGGTTTCAAGTCCAACCCCTTGGCAGGAACTCACTGGCTGCAGGCATTTTTAACCTTTCCTTGGGTCATGGATCTTTTGAGAACCCGATAAAAGCCTGCTCTAGAAAAATTCACTTATGCAACAAATTTTGCATTTAATTTCATAGAGTTTAGGGATTCTATGTAGCTTTTCCCTGAACCCAGGTCAAGATTCCATGCCTGCTTTCTGGCCTCCCTCCTTTCCTTTCCTTTCCTTTCCTTTCCTTTCCTTTCCTTTCCTTTCCTTTCCTTTCCTTTCCTTTCCTTTCCTTTCCTTTCCTTTCCTTTCCTTTCCTTTCCTTTCCTTTCCTTTCCTTTCCTTTCCTTTCCTTTCCTTTCCTTTCCTTTCCTTTCCTTTCCTTTCCTTTCCTTTCCTTTCCTTTCCTTTCCTTTCCTTTCCTTCCAATATTTATTAAGCATCTACTATAAGCTAGGCAAATTCTAGGGAATATATAAGTGAACAAAACGGATAAAACTCCTTACTGTCCTGGATTTTACAGTCTAATGTAGGAGGACATACAATAATAGACATATTAAATAAATTATATAGGGTGTTGGAAGGTGATGAACATTAATGAAAAAATAAAAATAATAGAGCCAACTAATTGGCATTGGGATACATGGGGGGAGAGGGTTCAATTGAAAATGGGTTGGTATTTACGTGTCCTGGGGTCAGGGACTTCTCTGGTGTTATCCTTCTTCATTTTTTTTAGACATTTTTTTTTGAAAGTTATACGAAAAGTTTTGTCTTTAAAGGGTCAGAATCCACCTTCCTGTAACTTTTCCCTGTTCTTTCCTGGGCCTGCAGGCGGTTATTGGACTTAATATCTTTCCCATTCCTTATTCTTCCTGTAGTGTGGGAGAGAATGTCTTGTGTGCATGGAGAAACCCTTGCACTATTCAAAGATGGTTCTTATTATAGTCTATGTCAGTCTTTCCCTGCAGGCAGACTTGTCCCCCTGCCCCCACTTTTCTCAACCTTTCCTCATATTTCATGGTCTTCTTTTCCCTCACCACGTTCTTTATCCTGCTTTAGACGTCATCGTACTGGTTAGTGCCTCCATGAAAGAGGTGCCTGGAAGAGTAAGCAACTCCACGCCCCAGCCCAGAATAGCCTGGCACCATTCCCTGTACAGTCAGAGACAGCCTAAGTTAGCGTTCGCCTTTTTAGCAGCAGTTATCACAGTGCTGATTCATGCTGGGCTTGTGGTCAATTCAAGCCTCTGGGTGTTTTTTTCCCATGATCCACTGCCAAGTCCGGCTTCCCTCATCCTGTTACAGAACTGCCCATGCTGTTCTAAAACAGTTATGGGGTTTGATTGCCTGTCACCAAGAAGCGTGACTCCCAGTGCAAGAGTTTGGTGAAAAAGGAAAGGGGTTGTTTATTTATTTAAAGGTTATACAGATTTAGAATTTCGGCAGATTTCTGCCATAAGGTCTTGTTCCCTTTAAAAACACCCCAAAGTACTCAGTCCTGCCTCCCTTTGCCAAACCAGGCCAGTTTCAGAACACAATGGTCAGAGGTACTGTCTTTCAGAAAAGCTGAAGTCTCCAACCCAGCAGTCCCGGTCACGGTTCAGCTCCAAGCATCTCTCACAAATCAGGGTGGTTGAGCAGGCCCCCACTGCACCACCAGCTCGGGTGACTCTGAACTTCTGGCTTTCAGACCTCCTCTCTCTTATTCCAGACTACGTGGCTCTCCTTTTTCACTGCAGACCTCGTGGCTTTTCCCCTTACACACCAGACCTCGTGGCTGACCCGCTTCTCTTTCAGCCTGCCCTCATTTAAAGTGCTGGGCCCAGAACTTCCTACGTGATCTCATATCCAGCCCCTCCTATGATGTGTTAGTGTCTGCCAATTTTGCCAGTTCCTCAATATCTTTCACCTTCTTTTGGCTGCCATCTTTAGTCAGGGCAAAAGTTCCCAGAGATACATGGACATGGTGGGTGGGCATCCACCCCCTGCCTCTCTCGCAGGTGCTATATTCTGGCTACATCACAAGTCTGAACGTTCTCAGTCAGGTACACAATTTGTTGTGGTAGCCCTCTTCCCTTCAGGAAGGCATGGCTATTAACTTGCCATTGTTCCCCAGTGTATCTTAAACACCCCATCATCCACTCTCCTCTCCCCAATCAAGGGTTGTGGGGGATATGCCCTGCACCCTGTTACAATCCTAGAATAAATAATATTTAATATATTATTTAATAAAATTTATTTATTTATTTATTTTAAATGAAAATTTTTATATATTATTTTCCCCTGTTGATGAACTTATTTTCCCCAGCATCTCTAGAGAGCAGACTGAATGAAACACAAGATTGTTCTTAATTCTTCAGATCAAGCTTTGGAACTCATTTTTCTGGCCAGTCTGCCGCCAGCTAATGGGGCCAGGAGACTCGTGTCTTATAACCCACAACATTCCTTTGGTACAGCAGTGCCTGCCTCCTTGATCAGACCTCTTTATGTTACAGGAGTAGCTCAGAGCCCTTTGGGGCTGGGTTTGTCCTTAGTTAAACTTCTCTTGAGAAGTCTCATCTTTGAGAATGAGAGGCACTTGTAGGTGTTCTCACTTCAGAGACCTGCTTAGACTTCTCAGGGTTGGACCCTTAAGAAAGCTGTAGAGTTTTGCTTTAGGGCCGGGGAAAGAGTTGGTGCAAGCTGGTGGGACTTTCTTCCACAAGCTTTAAAGCAAAAGTATCCTGTGGTCTTATCCAAAATCTGCATATAACGTCTCGTGGGAGATAGCATCTTGTCAGTTGCATGAAGTATGTTCAAGAAATGTTACTGTTATTATTTTTAAAAGAATAAATGAAAATAAAGAAAAAAAGGAAATAATATATTGAGTATCCACTATGTGCCAACATGGTTCTTAACTAAAAGCAAGTCTGCAGTCTGAATCCCTGTTGCTGCTCTTTTCCCAAATCACCAAGAATCATCCATCCATTCAGTAGATGAGCCTGGAGCTTTGAAATGGATGAGCATCCTGTTTACTAGGTTGTTAGTTACCTTCCCCACCCCTTGTATACAATTAGAATATTTGCCCATATTTAGCCTTCTGGGGAGGCCTGCACTGTTCTCTGCAATTGCTCAAAACTCTCGTCTACAAGTTTTTGCAGTTCCTTAGGGTTTACATCATTTGGCCTGGAAACTTGAACTCATTCAAAGGCTTGAGGCTTTCTTTTTCTTCTTTGCTACCTTAGGGTTTTTTTCTCCCTCGCTGATTTCTTATAATTTTAAGCTTATCTGTTATTACTAATCCTAAGAAAATAATCAATATTATGCTCCAATAGAACCATCAGGCATGCACAAAACAAAGGCTTTTCTTGTTGGCACTGTCCCTATGTTTTACCTGTAGCCCATCACCCCCAGGCCCATGCCACCTCTGACCTCGCATACCTTGCACACTGAACACAGCTCAGTCAGCCTTTAACGGGCCTGGTACACTTTCCTACAGAACAAGGAATTTCAGGGTACCCGCTGTCTATGGATAGGCAAATCATATAGATGATGACGTATGTATTATCTATCTACTTTGATAAGCTGTACTTTCACAAGCAACTAGAATCCACCATCCATCCTTCCATTCATCCAAAAATATCACCAAGTTCCTCACTTCTAGGAATATAAAGAATAAGACGCAACCTTCATCCTCTAGGAGTGTGTGATGTGGTGGGAAAGGGCGTTACTGCTGTATAACTACAAGTGCTGTAAAGCATCATGTGCACTGTGCTAAGGGAGCTGCAGGGAGGGGCCCGCGGGGAGGAAGATTGAGTCATGGGAAGCCCCACTGTGGAGGTGACCGTGGAGCTGGGTCTTCTGGGTGCCGGGGCTGGACCTCTGCAGTGACTTCCTTCTCTTGCTCCCCGGCATGAGCAGAGCACTCTTGCACCTCGGGACCCTGCTCCTTTAACTGTATCTGCACAACTTGTGTCCTGCGCTTCTTTGTTCAGTACAAGAGTGTGGCAGGCATCACCTGATCTTCTTTCTGGGCTCCTGACTTTCGTTGCAATCATTCTCCATCTCTAGTTCCCTTGGCAAGTCCTTTAACTTTGCATCCTTCTTACTGACTTCTTCTGGCCTCAACTTGTCTTCCTCCTGATCTTCAACCCACATTTCCATCATGATGAGTATGGAGACTTTTGCCCTCAGCATGTATAATCACAGTACCCATATTTAAAGAGGGGCCTTTTAAATTGCAAACAGATCATTAAACCATGTCAGATACATTGTACCACATCCTTTTCAATAACCCTCAAAAGAGCAGTTTCTCAGTTATGATATTGATCCATCCACATGACAGTTCAGATTTGATTGGGATTCATGCATTACCCCATAGATTTTTTAAAAAGTTGATAGTTTTTAATATTAGACAATCATTCTCTCCCTCCTCAACACAAAGAACTGTTAACACAAGCATTGCATAAAATGTGTGGCCTCTTTGCCATCCTTCTCTGTTGTCGCAAGCTCTCAAAAGCCAGCAGGTTACACAATGTTTGTGAAGCAGTGAGGTGTGAGAGTGGTGAGTGTGATGACAGACTGGGGCGTGCCTCCCCCTGATGCACACCACCTGCAGCCCCAAGTCATCCACATAGAACAGTGGAAACACTCATTGGCCCCCCCCCCCCCCCCCCAGTCTGGGGCCTGAGTCAGCCCTTGCAGGCCACTTTTGGGTCCTGGTCTAAAATGGCATTGTTCTGTGTTGCAGATCTCCTACAGATATCTTATTATTGCTCTTGGAATCCAGTTGGACTATGAGAAGGTATGTTTCAAACTACTTCTGTGTTCCCTGACCTACTTATGCCAACATCAAACATGGGCTTTAGTGGCTTTATATTCATTTTGACAAGAAAAAGTCCTAAGATATCCTCCTCTCATTTTATTTCTCAGAAGTCCTTTTATGGTTTTAAAAAAGCCTTCTCTAAGAGTCTGTCAATAATATGATCTAGCTGCAAGCTTTAATCATAATTCAACATGCCCATGCCCTAATGGGAATTCATATAAAAGAGCAACTTTTCCTACATGTACAAGAAAACTACCTTTCTGTGTGGGACCGAGTTGGCTGTATTACAGATTAAAATTTCTCTTGAAGGTATGACTTAGATCATGAATTCCTAAGCAGACTTTAAGGGTAGAACACCAGGAGTTAGTTTATCAGGAGCTTTGGGTTTTGTGGTGCAGAGCCTGGGGTTCTTGGTACAAAGTGACCGACAATGTAACGACTACCCTGGAAGTTCCTTCACTCTCCCTTTTCCATGAGCTAGGGAGCTAGAGGCTGCCTGACAATTGTGGAGTTCAAGTTTAGTTTTTTCTAAAGCATCGTGGAGTAAATCGGTAGTTATTATGATTTCCAGGAGTTTGCTGGGAACTCTGGATAAATAGCTGGAGCACAGGAAGCATGGTGATAGCCAGGTCACACGCTCCAGGAATGTGATACAGGGAAGGGCCTCATGCAAGCTGGCTCAGTAAGGGTCTTTGAAGTGTGTTTCTGCATCAAAGCTGAAGTCATGACATGTCCAGGGTGAGGGTGGTGACAGTGTCCTGGGATGTGTTCTGTGAACGTTCAAAGAAGCCACGAGTTGGTATGAAGGTTGTGATGAGTTTGGGTCACGGTGGCATGGCCGTCAGCCTCACATAACGACAAGCTATGGAGTAGACTGTACGGAGAAGGGTGCCAGTTACACCCCGAAGTGCTGACTTTGCAGACACGGCGCGTCCCCAGGGCACGGCCCCCCTGAGAGTCCCGGTGCCTTCTGAGGAGGACTGTTTGAAGAGACCGGTGCCGAGAGTCCTTAGTAGCCTTTTGCAGCAAACCAAGAAACAATACATTTAAATGTAGTCTCTACTATGTACCAGGTACATGCTAGGAAACTACTATTGATTTCTTATTGCTCCTTCAGAGAAAGGTATTTTTGTCTCCACTTAAGAGATGGGGAAACTAAGGCTGCTGTCTTATCTGGTACTCTTTGATTGCAGAGAGTAGGAAACTGCTCAGGTTATTGTAAACAGAAGGGGGATTTATTTGATGAGAATACCAAGGTGTCTGGATCCCTAGGGCAGAAATGTAGGTGGGTCTTCAGAGGACTCGGTCTCTGATCTGGGGTCTGTTTGGCCCCAGGCAGCCTCTCTCTGCTCACAGTCTCTGTCCCTTTCTCCTGCTCACTGGCCTGGCACGTGTGATAAAGTAGTCCACAGCTCCCAGCGTACAGCCTATTCCTGTGCAGCCAACAGGGGTCAGACCTCATCCCTTCCCCTGCCTCCCAGAGAAGCACTAAGATTGGATGAGGGGGCAGTAAACTGCCCTTTATGAACAAGTATCCCACTTTATGGCATCTTTCCCCTTAACAACAGCTTCTTCAGTTAGAGAAGAACACTGAAAGCAGTAGGAGAGCAGCTGTTTAGCTCTTGAATAATTTTGCTTTGGGAACGAGGGAGTATGGAAGTCTTGTGGGCAGGGCCCCAGGCGGTGGGCACGGGCCTCGGTGTCTAGCTCTGTAAGATTCCACGTGGGTCTCTCAACCTTGTTCCAATCCAGTTTCTTCATCTGCCAGTAATGTTTCCTTCCCTCCCTCAGAGGAACAGAGTGAACATCCAATGTTAGCATAGATGTGAAACTGCAGCAACATTAAAAGGGAATGTGATGTTAAAATAATAAATGATTATTGTTGAAACTGCTAACATTACAGCTACTTAAACTGTAGCAGAAGATATGATCAGTAATCAGCAGTAGTTGCTCTTGAATTGAGTGTGATGGGGAGATCACAGGACTCTTTTCTTGAGACCTGATAGGTGTCAGTGACTCTGGAGGTAGTAGCCCTGCATTCTGGAGAACAGCCTGGGGAGGTTCTGGAGGTCCAGCCCATCTTGATGTTGTGTTTTTGAGTGTTTCTGTCCCTTTTACTGGAAGAACTGAGGCTTGAGTCTCTTATCTCAATTTGTGCCATTTTCATTGCACCCTATGAACCTTCTTCCTTTTTTGTTTGGTCACCACAGAACTTTAATTGTTAACAAATATTAAAACCGCAAACGAAGGTCATTTACTAAAGACTGGTTGAATCAGCTTTGGTAAGCCCATACTGTCAAACACGTACCACACCATAACACAGAGCAGGTTACTCTGCAAGTGTGCTCAAATGAAAGCTACTGGAGAAATACTAGTAAGACATTTTTGAAGCATTGCCATTAAGTGTGTGTGGTAGGTGCAAACCTTCTAACATTTAAGACGAGTGCCCAGTTATCTTACCCACTGGAGTATATGTGAGCACTTGTGGAGCACTAACCTGTGCATGTCACTTTTCTGAGCACTTGCACGTGTGTCTCCTTTACTCCTGCCAAGACCCTCTGGCGTTGTTACTTTTGTCCTCTTAACAGACCGTGAACATTTTCAAGCCTCAGTGCCCATTGACTCTCCTTTTAAAACAGATTTCTGGGCTTGTCCCCAAGTTCCTAACTCAGTAGGTCTGGGGTGGGGCCTGAGAATACGTATTTTCAGCAAGTTCCCAGATAGTGCTTGTGCTGCTAATCTGGAGATCACACTTTGAGACCCACTGGCCTAGAGATATTAGTAAGTTTACCAAGGGTTAAAACACTCATAAATGGAAATGCTAGGACTGAGGCCAGGTCTGTGTGAAACTGGACAAGTTGGCATTTGTGCTGCCTGTCACTACCAGAACCAATATGTGGAGACAAGGATTGAGTCTTTATGGGCGCTTTATTTAGATGCCAGGGATCTGAGAAGATGGCAGGTTATGTACCCTAAAAACCACCTGAACATTTCATCTCCAGCTGACCTTTTCATAAGGAGAAGAAAGGGTCAGCAAAGGGTTTGGAAAAAAGGTTAATTGGGTAAGAGTTGCAGTCCAACACTGGTTTTCCCAGTACTTCTTTATCTGCTGATCGACAGTTCTTTAACTGCTCTCATGGATGCTCCCTCTTTGGAACACAGTGGCTTGGCTCATGCATTCCAGGTCTTAGAATAACAGCTTTCCACGTGCATTAATCACCTAAGCCTGTCAACTAGGACTGAAGCTAAAATCTTTAACTCTTGAGTTCCCCTTTCATGTGGGGTGCCCAAATCAATGTTTTTAATGACCTGCCTTTACCAAGAGTTTGGTCTGGTGCAACCTGATGAAGGTAATTTAAGTTTGCTATCATCGACATTGTGGCCGTTGGTTCTGCCTATCCCTCTTCTTCCCAGTAAGGCAGCTGGTTCTCCCAAAAGGAAGTGTGCCTGGATTCTTGTCCTCACTCTCATGGTGGGAAGAGATGTATACAAGTCATGGTCTCAAGGACAGCGAGGCGGAGGGGTCCCTTGGGCTGAGCCCACTCTGCAGCTTGACAGGTGGCTCCAGGTGCTGCAGCCCTGGTCTTAGCAGAGCCTTCACCCCCTGCCTGCTGCATTGTGCGTGAGGCCCGGGGGCTAATAATGGCACCGAAAAGTTGCAAGGTTGTACAAATTGCAAAGAAAAGCCTTTTGTACTTCTGTTGAAACACTTATTTTTACAGTTTACTTCAAATTTTATTCCGTATTGGTTTCAGGTGTACATCTTAGCGGTTAGACAGTCATATACTTTACATAGTGTTTCCTTAGGTATTTCCAGTACCCACCTGGCACCACACATGATCGTCACCATATTATTGATTGTATTCCCTGTGCTACACTTTACATCTGCATGACTATTTGTAATCACCAATTTGTACTGTTTAGTCCCTTCACGTCTTTCACCCAGGCCCCCCACCTGCTCCTCTGGCAACCACCAGCGGCTCTCTGTGTCTAGCAGTCTGTTTCAACTGTTTGCTTGTTTCTTTTGTTCTTTAGGTTCCACACAAATTGAAATCATGTGGTAAAATTTTTTCCTTGTGTTTTTTGTTGCAGATTAAAGGGCTACCTGAGGGTTTTGCCCATCCCAAAATAGGGTCCAATTATTCAGTCAGTACGGTAGAGAAGACATGGAAGGCGCTGCAGGACTTCCAGGAGGGCAATGCCATCTTCACCTTCCCCAATACTCCGATAAAGTGTGCGGGCGCCCCCCAGAAGATCATGTACTTATCGGAGGCCTATTTCAGGAAGGTACGCGTCCTTCCCAGGGACAGAGACCGGGGTGGGGTGGGGAGTAGGCGGTGCTAATTTGATGGTGGCCAGAATTTCATTTTATCCACGTCAGAATAATTTTTTTATTTCTAGCTTTTTGTTACATAGGTATGAAGTTATAGAATTGGAAGTTTGCAAAATAGAAAAGAGGGAGAAGTCAGTCATGGTCCAGTTGCTTTAATATAACTGCGGTCATCAGTTTGACGTGACCTTCCATTTTTTCCCTGTGCATGTTTTTTAAACCAAGGTGACACTCATACTGTACATACACACTTATCTGGATTACAGGTTTTTAAATAGTCTTTGTAACATACTTAAAAAAAATCCTCACCTGAGGATAACATTTTTATTGATTTTTAGAGAGAGAGGAAGGGGGGGAGAGAGAGAGAGACAGACAGACAGACATCTATTGGCTGCCTCCTGTGTAGGCCCCAGCCAGGGGCCTAACCCACACCCTTCTGGTGTACGGGACGATGCTCCAACCCACTGAGCCACCCGGCCAGAGCTCTGACATAGTTTTTAGTGTGTGTAAAACCTGCTGGGAGGTCTGCTGGAGGCTGCTGAGGCATTTCCATGTAGTTAGACAACTATTGCACATTGTACATTTTTATATGTAATAATAGCCTCAGATGCCCCCACTCAAGTTCAACATTAGGAATATTTTCTGGCTTCTGATATGTATTTTGGAGTCTAATAGGCAAAATGCTAGTTCTAAGGGCAAAGAAAAAGTTCACCTAGCATTTACAACCTTAGCGGAAAGAGAGATTTGGGCGGGGACGCATTCGCAGTGTTCCACAAACACCCTCTGCGTCGGAGTGGGCGTTTGCAGCTCCAGATCACGTGGTTCGGAGCTGCGGGAAGCTGCCCTTACCCTCCTGCCCATGGGATGTCACGTCAGGTACACCAAGGCACGGTTCAACTCGAGGCAGGGGCAGGGTTCAGAGCAGCCTGTGGTTCTGTAAAGGGACAAGGGGAGGAGGGGAGGGGACGGTGGGACTGAAGAGATGTTGAATGTGTGCTTGGGAGACAGCACCAGGAAGGCCTTCAGCCGAGTCATGGAAACCAGCACCAGCCCCCGTGGGGCATGAAATGAAGGAACGGTTCCAGTCATCATTTCTGTTTTTAAGAAGGAACTTTCTGGGTTATGAGAATTCTGGGTTGGCACAGCCCTTTGAGGTTCATATCTAACTTTTTTCAAATAATGAGACCCAGGTGAGCAAATCCTAGAAGGAGCTGAACAAAGGCAAAGACTAAGAGATTAACTGTTTCTTTCCTCCTGGAAATTCTCTTTGCTTAACTCTTTCTCCCAACAATTGAGTGGCTGTGAGAGAACTGTCTCTGTCAGTTGTCATAAAACCTTAGATGTTTGGGAGAATACTAGCCTCTCTGAAACACGAGTAATACTGCAGTGTACGAGCCAACGGGACGCGGGAACTTTGTCTTGTTCACTGCTGTCCCCTCAGCACCTAGAACAGCGCTTGGCCAGCTCTACGACATATTTATGTCATTAAATATTCATTGGTGAATGAACAAGTGAATATGTGAATAAGCAATCCAGCTCTATCTCTACCTGGAATAAGTCTCACCTGTGGCGTTCAGCCGAATGGTGCCCACCTTAACCCCCTGACTCTGATGTGCACCTGGTTGCTGTATTGCTGACAGAAGATAAGATGGAGACCGTGGGTTGGTCCTCGCCTCACCCCGCCAGGTGCAGTGACGGAGAAAGCTGGCGAGGTCTCCTCTGAAGATTTTCATTCTTGTCTCAGTTGGGGAAAAAACAGATCATAGGAGTATAATGCTTTGGTGGTGGTTATTTCTATTCTCTCCTTTTTTTCAGACAGGGAAGCGATCCAAGGCCAATATCATTTTCAACACTTCTCTTGGAGCAATTTTTGGGGTTAAGAAGTATGCAGGCGCCCTGCTAGACATCATCCAGGAGAGGAACCTCACTGTTAACTACAAGCAAAACCTCGTTGAAGTCCGAGCTGAGAAACAAGAGGCTGTTTTTGAGAACCTGGACAAACCCGGAGAGACCCAAGTGATTTCAGTGAGTGGTGAGGTTCAGATGTCAGATGAACAATGGCACAGATGCAGGGGACACTGTGACTCCTGCTTCCCTGTCCATCGCCATTGTGTGCTGGGGGAGGCTGGTTACAGTGCGCATCTCAGGACAGTGATGGGGGGAAGGGGAACCAACGTAGGTGGGGAAGAGAAAGAAGGAGGAGACTGTGTCCATGGGAAGTGAGGGGGGTTTATCTACTGTCCCAAGTAGATTTTTATCCTGTTTTATATCTCTTAACTTTTCTTGGCGCTGAGTCACTTGAAGCAGTCAAATATTTCACAACTTCAGTTACTGCCTAGAGTTCAGGAAGGGCGTCCTTAAATGCAGGATCTGGTGACTGATGGAGTGTATGGCATGGGAGAAACAGCCCCCCCTTGTGGGTAGTTCAAGAATGACAGGGGTGTCTTTCACCTCTGAAGAAGTTGTCTTTAAACATCTTTTCCCTGCGACTTCAAACTCCTTGAAAGATCTGGCTTTGCTCTCCCTGCTCGGAAAGAGCCAGCCTCTGTATGTGGCCTCGGCTTCTCTGTGTCTCAGTTTCTTCTTCTGTGAGTGGGAAGAGGAGTGTGCAAGGAGTGAAAACAGGATGAAGAGTCACTTGGAGAGCAGGCATGGAGGAATCATTTGTTTATATGAGAAAACAGTACGCAGGTGTATTTTACTCATCCAGCACTCTTAGAGGAGTGATAGGTTCCGTAACAATGAATTCTGAAGTAGAGCAAAGATTGGTCTCCTAAGCATCAACACTTCACATTATAAGCTTTTCTAGCTCAAGCTTTTTCTGAATATATACACACATCTTTTTTTAAACATGGAGTATATAAACTATCATTTAAAATGCCATTGATGCCCTGGCTGGTATAGCTCAGTGGACCGAGCACAGGCCTGCGAAGCAAGGGGTTGCCGGTTTGATTCCCACTCAGGGCACATGCCTGGGTTGCAGGCCAGGTCCTCAGTAGGGGACACATGAAAGGCAACCACGCATTGATGTTTCTCTTCTACTCTTTCTCCTTCCCCTTCCTTCTCTTTAAAAATAAATAAGTAAAACATTAAAAAAAAAGTCATTGATGACTCTGGGTCATAATTTATAAAACTTCTTTTTGAAAATAATCTTGACTTAGAGAAAGTTACAGAAATAAAAATACTAAATGTATAAAAATATATAAAACTGTATATAGCCTTTACCTAGACTACTGTTACCTATTATATAATATATATAATACCAAGGTTTATTCCATTTCCATTATCATTTCATTTCTCTCCTTCTCCCACTCCCGGTCCCCAAAGCACTTAATGATAAGTTTCACACGTCATAGTCCTTTACCCCTAAATACTTCACTGTAAGTTTCCTAAGATGTAGGAATGTTCTTGTGCATTCCGATCCATAGAACTGCTCTCAACTCAATTTATTTAGCATGGATACAATGTTTTAATCTACCATTTTTAAATCCTCACCCAAGAATATGTTTTTTTTAAAAGTTGATATTAAAGACGAAGGGAAAAATCGAGAAGCATCCATGTGAGAGAGAAAACATCGATCAGTTGCTTCCTGGATGTGCCCCATCCAGCAATCAAACCTGCAATGTAGGCATGTTCCCTGACTGGGGATTGAACCCACAACCTTTTGATACGCAGGATGATGCTCCAAGCAACTGAGCCGTCTGGCCAGGGCTACCAGTTTTTTAAACTGAATTTATTGGGATGCAACCTTCAAGTGCACAACTCAGTAAAACATCACTGGTACACTGCATTGTGCTCCCGTTGCCCCAAACAAAGTCTCTTTCATCCCCGTTTGCCACACCTTTGCCCGCCTCCACCTACGCCACCCCCGTCCCTCCGGCCATCACCACAGTGCTGTCTGTGTCTGTGTGGTAGGTGGATGTGTTTTTTTGGCTAATGCCTTCACCCAGTCATTTGTATTCCAGTTTTGTTTTCAATAGCGTTTATAGTCCTTTTCCTCCTCCAGGAAAGAACCCAGTCTGCATGCAGTCAGGTGTTTCAGCGAAGTCTGTCCCTTTGGCTGGCCTCCTTTAGTATGGCGTGTTTCCTAGACACTGGCGCTTTGGAATAATACAGCCCCCCGCCCACCACTTTACTTGTTTGATAGAATCTTCTTCATTTCGGGTTCGTCTGTGCCTTCTTGCGTTTACTTTCAGGCTACGCCTTTCAGACTGAAATGCTGCATGAGTGATGTGTGTCGTCTGGGGCAGCGCCTGCGAGGGCACACTGTGGTCACCTGCTCCCCCACCCCCCCACCATGCTGCTCATTTAGACCAGTCCAGACCCGGCCTCATTTCTCCTCGTTTAATCGTTCTTTTTCTCCCTCGCTGCTGCTAAGTCTGCGGGGAGACGCTTAAAAGACCAGATAAACACCTTCCTCCTCATTAATGTTTCCCCTGGACTTAGCATCCACTGGTGATTTTTTTTTTTACTGCGGTGGTTGCAAACTGATGATTTTCCAGCTCTTTTTTCTATGTTTACCAATAGGATCTTGATATTCTGTCAGCAAAAGCCCTCCCTTCCCTTAGTTCATTATTGGTATGAACTAATAAATTCCCATTGACCCCCAGTGTTTTATAATTTATTATTTGGTGCTCAAACTGTCGCAGATTCGAGGAGCCCTTTTAGATGGTTTCTGTTTCCTCGTGACATGTCCCCTTCGTGTTTTTGAGCACTATCTTCCTTTCCGGAGCTATGGCTCAGCATCATGATTACGAATAGCTCTTAGATAGTTAGGCTCCCAGGGGCCTACTGGGAGGTTTGGTGTCAGCCGGCACCTCACGGAAGCATCTCGAAGTGCTGCCGTGTTCTCTGAGGTGGTGTGTGTCCTGCTTTCTTCTTTCCTGGCTGCCAAAAAGTTGTCAGTGAGTTTGGAGGTCTCACCATCTTTAGCTGTTTTTAGTTGCTGCTTCCAACATTTTACTGGATGGAAAATGAGATGGCCAGATGGTAAATTTTATGTGAAGTAAAAGTGAGTGGGCTATGAGCAAGGGCCCAAAGCATACGTTTTGGGCAAAAGTGTATGAGGAGCTTGGGTGCCTGAGCTTTGTTACTTTGTCTCTCGGCTGAGTTCTGCCTAGTCGAGTTTACAGGTGGCAACTTGGATAAGTAAATGGTTATTGTGCTCCAGGAATTATAGAGAAAGAAGATGTCTATGCTCCTTTTGAATTGTAGATTTCAGGTCAGATTTTCTTCCCAGACTCAATTCCACTCTTTCTTTTATTAAAAAAATCATTTACTTATTTGTTTTATTTATTCTTTTAATTACAATCGAAAAACAATGTTGTATTAGTTTCAGGTATACAACACAGTGATTGGACATTTATATAACTTGCAAAGTGATCACCCTGGTAAGCCTAATAACCACCTGACACCACACGTGGTTATGAAAATATTACTGATGATATTCCCTATGCTGCAATTTACATCTACGTCAGTTTTTTTTAATAACTGAAAGTTTGTACTTCTTAATCCCGTCACCTTTTCACCCGTTCTCTACCCCCTCCCATCTGGCAATGATCAGTTCTCTGTATCTATGAGTTTCTCTTTTGTTTGTTCACTTATTTTAATTTTTAGATTCCACATATTTGTGAAATCATGACATTTGTCTTTCCTTGGTTTATTTCACTTAGCACAATACCCTCGAGGTCCATCCACGTTGTTACAAATGACAAGATTTCACTTTTTTTCTGGCTGAGTAATATTCCATTGTGTATATGTACCACATCTTTATCCTCTCGTCTATCAGTGAACACTTGGGCTGCTTCCAAATCTCGGCTATTGTAAATAACACTGCAGTGAACATAGGGGTGCATATATTCAACTTAGGGTTTCAGGTTTCCTTGGGTGTTTTTCCAGAAATGGAATTGCTGGATCATAAGGCAGTTCCTGTGGAAGCGACTTTCCTTTCAAGTCACCCCCCCACCCCCCCACCCCGCCGGTGCAACAAATGAAAGTGAACATAACCGAGACATGATGTGATCTTCTTGGGGAGGAGAAGTGAGCAGTGGCCAGTTTCTCCGAGGGGAAAAAGGCCTCCAGCCCCCTCTTCCAATGGCTTTTATTGGGTTGTAATACACAGGAATACAGGGTGGCAAGGATCAAACAGCAGATAACATTTCAAAGAAATCTGAGGGCTTAGTCTGAGTCAGAGTCTGTCAGGAACAGAGTTTTGGTGTTTCCTGCTCCAACTCTTAACATATGAATGAAAGCACTCTTAGCAGAGCAGATTTCACAGATTTATCAGCAAGTCTTTGTGATGCTGGATTTTTCCCCAGGACCTGCTCTAGCCAGGCAAGGAGCTGCATCTCTCCCCAACAGGTATTCAGGCTTAAGGGGATTAGAGCCAGGAAGCACTTCTCCCAGAGAACATGGGGACTCGGGCTTTGTCAAAGCCGAGGGGGCGAGAGTCCATTGCTCTTTGTTGCAGCCCCCCAGTCCTTCCATGCAGGCATCCCAAGTGATCCAGTCTGGCTTAGGTTGCCCCCCACTGTGAGGGGGTCTTATCTGTCATTGACTTCCAACCAAGCTTTGGGGGCAGGGAGAGGAAACTGAGGCAGTGTTTGCTACCAGAGACAAGCTTTGTCTCCTGAAGCTCACATTCCAAAGGTCATCTCTCACCCTTAGCCACAAGAGGTCGAGATATAATTTTTAGAACCATGGCAGAGCAGTCTACAACAAGTTCCATTTTTAATTTTTTGAGAAAACTCCATACTGCTTTCCACAGTGGCTGCACCAGTCCGCATCCCCACCAACAGTGCTCTAGGGTTCTTTTTTCTCCACATCTTTGCTAACACTTGTTTGTGTATTTACTGATGATAGCTATTCTGACAGGTGTGAGGTGATATCTCATTGTGGTTTTAATTTTTATTTCTCTGATGATTAGTGATGTTGAGCATCTTTTTATATGTCCATTGGCCATCTGTACGTCCTCTTTAGAGAAGTGTGTATTCAGGTCCTTTGCCCATTTTTAGTTGGATTGTTTGTTGTTTTGGTGTTGAGTTGTGTAAGTTCTTTATAAATTTTTGATATTAACTTCTTATCAGATGTATCATTGGAGAATATGTTATTTTAGTGGGTTATGTGTTCATTTTGTTGATGGTTTCCTTTGCTTTGCAAAAACTTGTTTGATGCAGTTTCATTTTTTTGGTTTATTTCTCTTGCTTGAGGAGATATATAAAAAAATATTGCTGTGAGAAATGTCTGAGATTTTACTGCCTATGTTTTCTTTCGGTATTTTTATGGTTTCAAATCTTACATTTAGGTCTCTAATCCATTTTGAGTTTATTCTTGAGTATGGTGTAAGAAGGCAGTCTGGTTTTATTATTTCACCCAGTATGCCATTTGTATAGGATATTAGCTCAAGTAAAACATCATGCCTTTATAATTTTTTGAAAAATATTTAACTTAAAGTTATCTGAAATTCATGAGGTTTTGACTACAGTTTTTTTAAAAAAAGTGTTTGTAGTTAACTGAAGTGAAGAGGACATGGCCTTAATAAGCTGGTGGACGCTGGTTGTTGGCCATCGTTCCATCTGTCATCCCACAGACATGGGTTCAGTCTCCACGCTCACTAACAGGCCCGGCCTCAGGGACCCATCCCGCTGTGGAGCCACCCAAGTTTGCCCCGCAGGGGAGCACTGTGGGTTTTGCAACCCTCCTTCTTCCCTAAGGTCAGTTAAGCTTATCATTGTCTGAAAGTAGGAATAGATGCAAGGCTTCCTCGTGCCATCGGTGACTGACAGGCCACGATGAACGCCTGAGCCTCCTCGTGGGGACGAGGGGCTCGTGACTCCCACAAGGTTGGAATTGTCTAAGATGTTGAAGTTTTCACCTTAGTGAAATGTTTGGTGGATATTTGAATCAATTTGATATTTCTAGATGAAATTTATTTAATCTAGTTAAAATGGATGAACTACAGAAAGTAGTGGAGACATAAAAAGGTCAAAGTAGCCATTAAGGTTAATCCTGATGGGTCAGATCACTATTGCCATGACCTCATCTGCCTTTTCTAGGTCAGAGGGGCTGTTTCCAGGGGAGGGTGCACCAGAAAGGGGAGTTTGGGGGGAAAATCTGATGCCTTCTATACTGTCTGTAAACCCAGTACTGAATCAGACCACTCTTCTTTCCAAAGTGCTAGCCAATATTCTTACCACCCTTTATTTCATTTTGAATGGGTGTTTTGACTGCTTCCTTTTGGGGGTTGACCCATAATTGGGAATGGCGCTCACTTGCCAGCTCCTCACTTAGCCTTTACAAGTTTCAAGGCCTCTGCACCTTTGTGCAGTTTGAGACTTGCAAGTTAACAGAGAGGGCCAGGGAGAGAGCAACTGAAATGTGCCACCCCCTTTGTTTTAGTTTCAGTAACAGGAGAAACATCAGTGGGTGCTTTCAGAATGTTAGTGAGGTTCACTCCAGTATCTTGGAGCCCCCATGCCTGCTGCCAAATAGATTGCATGGACTCTGTGTGGAGACCATGCGCACCAAGAGGATGGTTGGTTACTTTATCACCAGACCCCCGGGGAGCCTGTGCGATCTGGGAGAAGGGGCAGATTAGTAGAAGCACTAGTTGCAATGTGCAGCCACAGCAGTGAGGGAGATGGGGGAGTGGCTTGTGGGGCTGTAGAAATATTGAAAAACCCACAAATTTGGATGCTGTCCTTTTCCGTAGTATGAAATGCTTCATGTTACACCACCCATGAGCTCACCAGATGTCCTCAAGTCGAGTCCTGTGGCCGATGCTGCTGGCTGGGTGGATGTGGATAAGGAAACTCTGCAGCACAAGAAGTATCCAAACGTGTTCGGGATTGGGGACTGCACCAACCTTCCCACCTCAAAGACTGCTGCCGCAGTCGGTAAGATACAGTGCTAGTTCCTTCCCCTCTTAAAATGATGTCGCCCCAAGGCACCATCATAACAGAAAGAAAAATTTGGCACTGTGGGGGCGACTTCTTTCTCGAGGTCTCCCCGGTGCCACGGACACGTGTGAATGAGTAGATATGGCCAAGACAAGATGAGATCTGTTTGGGGATGGAGGAGTGGGCTGTGGCCAGTTTCTCTGGGGAGAAAAAGGCCCCGAGCGCCCTCTTCCATAGCCTTTTATTGGGTTGTAATACACAGGAATACAGGGTGGCAAGGATCAAACAGTAGATAACATTTCAAAGAGGCCTGAGGGCTTCAGTCTGAGTCAGTGTCTGTCAGGAAGAGAGTTGCAGAAACTTTGGGAGACATACTCATTTCCTCTTGGACCTTTATCATATGAATGAAAGCACTCTTAGCAGAGCAGATTTCACAGGTTTATCAGCAAGTCTTTGTGGTGCCAGATTTTTTCCCCAGGACATGCTCTAGCAAGGCAAGGAGCTGCACCCTCCCCAACAGATATTCAGGCTCAAGGGGATTAGAGTCAGGAAGCGCTTCTCCCAGAGAACGTGGGGACTCGGGCTATGTCAGATTGGGGGGGGGGGCGAGAGTCCATTGCTCTTTGTTGTAGCACTCTGGAGTCCTTCCATGAAGGAGTCTGGCTTAGGTTGCCCCCTGCTGTGTCATTGACTTCCGACCAAGCTCTGGGGGCAGGGAGAGGAACTGAGGCAGCCTTTGCTACCAGAGACAGGCTTTGTCTCCTGTGGCTGGCATTCCAGAGGTCAGTCTATCGCCCTTAGCCACAAGGGGTAGAGATACAATTCCTAAAATCAGGCAGAGTGGTCTACAACAACCCCAAGGCACCATCATAACAAAAAGAAAAATTTGGCACAAATTGCATTCCATTAATAATAAAGAAATGTTTGGGGGGCTAAAAATGACTTTGACTTTCCTGACACAGAGTCAAGTTGTTGCTGAGCTCAGTATTGTACAAAGAAGGAAGAATGTGTCGCGGGCTTTGCACCAGAGCAGCAGGACCTCACGGGCCTTTTCTAGGTCAGAGGGTTGTTTTTAGGGGAGGGTGCGTTAGAGAGAGGGTGCCATTTTCCAGGGCTCTGGAATTCTGTTACTTTTCACACCGCTGCAGGCTCATTCCTGTCCTCCTTCACCTGTGATGCCCGGCAGGTTGGCGAGTTTTCTTCTGCCCGGAATACTGTAAAGCTAGGGAAGCATTTGTTTCCCAGAAAACACAGGCAAGTGAATGAATGCCTGCAGACCAGAAAATTGTTCTGTTAAGACAAATGCCGTGGAGTGTGCCCTGACTGGTACACCATTAAGACTGCAGCAGGGAAAACTAAATTCTTCGCCTCAGTGTTCTGCACTAGCAGTGATGGGAGGAATTGCCTTGTAGATTCTGTCCTCTGCAGACAGGAACTGTCTTCTCTAGATGCTTTAAGACACAGGCCTCCCTGCCCATGGCGATGGCAGTGTTCCGTGTGATTATACACCTGCAGCTCAGGTGGCGTAACCTTCACTGACTACCTCAGCCTAACGAAGACTTTCTAGGAAACCCACTGAATGCTTTTGCCACTATTAATAGTAATTTCCCAGCTGCTTTTTATTTTTCAAAGAAAATCTCAAACCTATGAAAAATTTGAAAGTACAGTGAATACCCTTATACTCTTCAGGTACTGACCAATTATTGATATTTTTGTGATGCATGCCTTCTCATTCTCTGTGCATTGTCTTGTCAAGTTATTTCACAGTAAGTTTTGACATCACTGTACTTCACCCTGAAATACTCCAACCTGCATCTCCTAAGAAAAAGGGCTTTCTCTTCTATGTCTACAAGACCATTATCATGTCCAAGAAATTGAACATTGTATCATAAAATCAACTCATATGCAATCCAGTTTGAATTTCTCCAGTTTTCCTACAGATGTTCTTGAGGGCCCAGCCCTCCCTTAAATACATGAGCCAGTCAAGGACCACACGCCGCATTGGTTGTCAGGTCGTCATGTCTCTGGTTCCTTTTAATCTAGACCAGACATTCTAACTATTTTTTTCTTACTTTTATGACATTGGCATTTTTGAAGATTCCAGGCTGGTTATCTTGTAGAATATGTCATAATTTCGAGTTGCCTCCACAAGCGAGACTCTGTGCCCTTGCTGTGGGGCTCCAGGAGCTGGTTGTGCTAATTTGCCCCCTCCTCGGTGAGGCTAGATTTTGTCGGTGGGTTCTCGTCACTGTCAAAGCATCTTTTGTCTCTGTAATTTATAGGCAGACTGCGGGTGATACTTTGAATTTGCTGAGTTTGTGTTGAAAATTCCTGTGCTGTATGTGAGGCCCAGAGGACCCAACCTTTGGCCTTCTTCCAACAAACACACATTTGACTCAGTGTTCCAAATAGATGTTATTAAGTATGGTTAAATAAAAAGTCCTGCGCCCAGCCCTGCCTCCCATCTCCAGCACCCACATTCCTCCTGATCACGTAGAGAATGCCCCTGTTGTTTTTACTTTAAAAAAGTCTGTCTTCTGTTGTATGGTTACTTCAGAATTTATTTAACAAGTCTACACTTGTATTTGCATGGTTTCCAGCCCATGTTCGTTCAGACTGTGCTACAGCAAGTGCTTTTCTTTCTGTGTCTATTTGTTCCTTTCTTCAGTGTCTACACAGCATTAGTCTTAACTCTCCCTGGATGGGTCTGCATTTCGCCCCCTCCCCAGGTCCTCTGAGGGTCCCGAGCAACGTTTATGCTTGTTCCACAAACCTGCCCCTGGCTTTACCTGCCACCAGCCAGGCGTCTCACCCCAGTGGAGACCACTGGGCCACAGAGAGCGAGAGCCTGCCTTGTCTCACTGAGTCTGGCTTTCCTGGGGCTCATGCCTCTTCCACTACCTCTCTCTGCCCCAGGATTCTTCCCGAGTTACATCGCACAACAATGAACAAAAGTTAACTGGAGGCTTGGGCATAACAGAAGGGGATTATAATACAGGAAAAAACCCCTCGGCTCACACACGTGCACACACACACACACACACACACCCACCCCTTGAACCCGGACAGCGTGGCTGCCTCCCGGGTCTCAGGGCCTGCCTCCCTGCGCCCTCCGGCCCTTTCCCCTCCCTCTTCTTTGGCCTCGGTGCCCTGCCGCAGGGGCCCCTTTGGGTTTTCTCACTACAGATTCTAAACTGTTTCTGGCCCACAAAGAGGAACAGAAGTTTCCAAAAGGGAAATACGATCTTGAGAGATGTCACCTTGCCCACAACAGAAATAGTTTGTTAATATTTTTTAAGCAGAGTTATTGATTCATTTTTTTCTGAATCCCCTCATTCCAGTAAAAAAATTCCTTGTTGTTTTGGGCATCAGCAAAGCCCTGCTTGCTGCCTGTTTTTGTACAGCTGGCTGAGGTGAGTGAGTACTACACACGAACGTTGGTAATCGGTCCGATGGGAGGGAATGCTAGCTTTATTTCTCACTCTTAAAAAAAGAATTCCATTCTTCTCATTAGTAGACCAATAGTCTAAATATTATTATAGTTTTATATTTTTAATTCTGTTAATAAAAATTTTTGTTTTCTTTCTCACTATTTCTTTCTCACTATATAAGCCTCTTGCCCCACAAGGTCTAAAATTTTTATTTAAAGAAAAAGTTTGCTGATTCCTGATTTTGGGGATTGCAAAGTAATTACTGTAATAAGATCATTTTATATACAATATGTAGATAACCCATCTCTTCTCCAAAGGAAATCCAGTCTCATACCTCTAGAGAGACAAACTGCTTGTATTTTTAAAAGGACATTCTCTTTTTAAATGTATTTTTCAGTTACAAATGACATACAATGTTATATCGGTTTTGGGTGTACAACACAGTGATTACGCGTTTGTGTGCCTTGCGAAGTGGTCACCCTGATAACTTGTGCCCGCTGGCACCACACACAGTCATCACAGTATTGCTGTGTGCCCCATGCTGTACTTTACATCCCTGTGACTGTCTTTATACTGACATTTTGTGCATCTCAATCCCTCACCCTTTTTATCCGCTCTCCCAACCCCCTCCTATTTGGTGACCACCAATTTGAAAAGGCAGTCTTAATTATTCAGAATTGAATGCAAGCCCTGGCTGGTGTAGCTCAGTGGATTGAGCACAGGTCTGCGAACCAGAGGATTGCAGTTCAATTCCCAGTCAGGGCACATGCCTGGGTTGCAAGAGAGTTTCCTGCAGGCCAGTTCCCAGCAGGGGACGTACTAGAGGCAACCATACATTGATGTTTCTCTCCCTCTCTCCTTCCCCTCTAAAGATAAATAAATAAATAAATATTTAAAAAAATTGAATGCAAACTGGGATTAGATGATATTGAGTCATCGATAATATTTTGGATGTAAAGATGTTTGTGTTTGAGTTTAAAAAGTGTCTCATCTATCAGATGTACACAGAAATGATCATGGGTGAATTGTTGTGAGGTTTGCTCTAGAAATACTCCAGGAGGAAAAGTGGCGGCATGTGTGATGGGACAGATGAAACAAGGGTGACAGGGTTGGAAAAGTTTTGTAATAAAAAAGGCAGTCTCCCATTCTTGCCCCCAGAACCTCCCCAAATCTGTCTGTCTGTCTGTCTATATCTGGTCCATCCTCAGAGAGGGCAGTCCAGTACAGAGGAAAGCTCACTGTTTTGGTACGTCTAAAGCTATTAATCTAGGCTGGGGTACAGGGACATCCTGGGGACACAGGGTCACAGGGACATCCCCGGTGGCTGGGGGATACTGGGCACACAGACCAAGCTGACCGCCATTGAACCCTAGGAGGAGGGGGAGTGGGGTTAGGTGTGGCCACCCTGACAATTCTTCTGTTTGAACTTGACCATCCTCCTCTTCGAGAGAGCTGGCTCATCGGCTTTAAACTTATGGAGACACCTGTGTAGGCCTTTGATGAACTGAAGAACTCCTTCCGGTATCTGGAAACTTCAAATAGTGAGAGTCGTGTTCTAGTCATAATTCAGAAGGATGAGGAGTGGAGTCTTCTAAACTGGCTCACATTAAAGTAATTTGCAAGTCCTTTTTCGTGGGAAACCTAGATGCTTATATTTTTCTGACTATTCCATTTCTCTTATAGCTGCCCAGTCAGGAATACTTGACAAAACAATTTCTCTGATTATGAAGAATGAAACCCCAGTAAAGAAGGTTTGTGTGCCTTGTAAGAGTCAGTGTCTCAATTATCATCTTCCATTCTGCATGACAACAATATTTTCCTATAATTTTGCCACTTTCTTAATTAGTTTCTTCAATATGGGCATTTCAGTTTTTGCCTTTAGTGCTACTTTTTGTTATACCATTCCCAGTTTTTAACTGTACAAAAATTAGAATATACACAAAAAAATTGCAACTGCTTAAAGGATAAATTCCAGAATCTAAGGATCTATATAACACCGTGAAAAAAGCCACTTTCCATCTCAGTCTTGTGTACAATTTTAGTATGATGGCTACACGTCATGCCCACTGGTCACTGGCTACAGCCGTGTGATTCTTGCGGAGTTTGACTACAACGCGCAGCCGCTGGAGACCTTCCCCTTTGATCAAAGCAAAGAGAGACTCTCCATGTACCTCATGAAGGCCGAGATGATGCCCCTCCTGTACTGGAATATGATGCTGAGGTAAGTGCGTCGCGGGGGTAGAGGTGCACCTTCTAGGATATGGCACCCGCTTGTGCAGGGTGGCTGTTTCAAGGCCTCCCAGCTGTAGAAGAAATCTACCCAGAGCAGGTCTGGTGAAGGGGACCCTCCTTGCTGGGCCATTTCGCATGGTTTAGCGATAGCAGCCTGCAAAGGGAAGCCTCAGCCACACTTGGTGGAGGAGAGGCTGCCCTGGGCGAGGAAAGGGAGCTGCAGCAGATCCAGCACCCACAGGGGGCGTGGCCGCTTCCTGGCGTGATTGGCAGTGACCAAGTCTCTGTCTTCCATGTTCTGGCTTTTCTTGCTGCTGGATTAATAATAATAATAAATACTCATGGCAAATCACTTTCACATGTTAAGTAGTTTTTCATTTGCTACCTTACTTTAGTTTTATTGTGTTATAAGAAAAATAAAACAGTGATTAATAGCATAAGGTTTGGAGTCAGACTTGTGTTTGAGTCGTGCATTTGTCACTTACTAGCTGTGTGTCTTCGGGTCAGTTGCTTAAACTGTGTTTCAGTTTCTTATCTGCAAATGAAAGTAACATCGCCTACCTCAGAGGGTGGGGATTAATGAGGTAATGCATTAAAAGACAGCTACCTAGTAGGCATTCAATAAATAAAGTAACAAAAATTAATTTTTTTGCTTTGTTCCAAACAATGACAATCTCATTTGACTTGTCCAAACCATTATGAGATAAGTAAGTCAGGATATCTATACTAGTGGTGTTCAACCAGGATGATTTTTGTCCTGCAGGGGGCATTTGGCAATATCTGGAGACATAGTTCATTGTCACAACTGGAGGGGATGCTACTGGCATCTAGAGGTCAGAGGCCACGGGTGCTGCTACACATCCTGCAGTGCACAGGACAATCCCCACAGCAAAAAACTACCTGGTCCAGATGTCAGTAGGGCCGAGGTTGAGAAGCCTGAACTATAATTTATTTACAAGCAAATGAAAGGAGAGAGGATTATAGTTTGCATATATATAGCAGAGGTTTCACACAGGTTTGCTGAACTGAATCAGCACGTCCAGGTTCCCACAGCAAGTCAGCGCCAAAACCAGAACTCGAACCAGGTTGTTCCCCGCTAGTCACAGGATCGTTCTGCCTCATTAGACAAATCTTGCTTTTTGTGCTGATGAGCATGGCCTGTGAGCCGCCTGGCTTTCCTTCCAGCGTCCTGCTGACTGAGGTCACCCCCATCTTTTCTGATGCAAGTATCTTTTCTACATCATTTCATGACAGGGGTTACTGGGGAGGACCTGCCTTTCTGCGGAAGTTCTTTCACCTTGGTATGCATTAAGGATGGCACAACGCTTGCTCTCTCTGGATGGCTTCCGGACCGAAATCACAGTCAGTGATTGACCAAAAGCAGCATGAAGAACTCCAAGCCTAACCCCATAAAGAGTTCCTGCCGGATAATGGACGATGGGACTAAACGCCTCCCGTTCAAGTGCCTCTGGACGGCCACCATGCCGGCTGCCCAGGATGAGCTTGGTTCTTTGGAAATATGAAAATAAAAGAATAGACTTTTATTTTTCATCTAAAAGTATGTCATTGAGATTCTATGAACATGTTTTATCTGGGCTAGCGGAATGAAAAGTTGTAGCACTCGGGAGGAAACGATGGGGGTGGAGGAATAGCCCGCCTGTTCTCTGCTGTGAGTATTCAACGGACAGCTGGCGCCAGGGTCCGTTTGGATTCACAGAAAACAGAGTCGTTTCAGGAAGAATATTATTTTAAACAGTGTGTATGATAGCCCTGAGCACGTGTTGCTTAGAACTCTTCCTGCGGCAGCACCGTGGCCCAAGTGCGCAGCCCTTGCCCCCGTCTCTGCTCCGCCACGTGTTTGTGCTGAGGCCACGCCTTTCCCAGCCAATGGCGGACGCGGTGGGGCCCTAGTGCTGGACTGTTGCTGTAGGACAGGGCAACTTCGGCTCCAGGATTCCCCGTCAACATGGCTGAAACCTTTTTAGATCTGTATTAGGTCTGAGATGCTCCTTCTTCCTCTTCTTTTCCCAGGCGCCCCGCCTGTGTCATGGTCCGAGGCCCTCCCTGCCATCTGTAGTCTTCACAGGCAGTTCTTCCCGTGAAATCTCTTGCGGCTCTAACTCTGTCATGGCACCTGCTTCTCAGAGATCTTACCCACAGTGAAGGTGCGCTTAGAGGAAAGCTGATGTGTGCAGAAAGCTTTTACTTCATTTGGTCCCAATTTTGGCCATGGAAATTGTGAATGAGTTCACACTGGAAATGCTACAAGAAATAGCTCCAGTTTAGTTCAGCAGTGACTTCAGAACCATTTGTTCCCTGTGAGTTTGTTTGTAGAAGTTTACAGTTTCAGTTCAAGGGTGTTTGAAGCCCCACTGAAAGGAAATGCATAGCTTTCTCTGCAATGCCTTAGATTTTTACACCAGTTTAGAGTTCAAACCTTAGTATGTGTTACCTGGGATTGCCAAGTCTCTCTGTTGTCTTGCAGTTCCCGTGACTTTAGCAACTTGTCCCAGGCATTCATTCATTAATTCGAATATTTACTGAGCACTACCCACTACCTGCCAAGCACTGTTCTTGGCACGCGGTGCAGAGGTGCACCAGGAATGTAAGGGCTATGCCCACATCTTTGCGGTTCCCGTGACAGTTTCCCCTTCTTTTCCCGGGATGCCAGGGAGGTTTGGAATGGGGCCTTGGTTTGATCTGGAAAGTAGACTTTCCTCGGGGGCACGTGTTCTGGAAGAGAGTGGGGCACCAGCCCCACAGAAGACCTCTAGCTTGGCTCTAGACGTGGAACGTGTTTTCGGGGGTCACCACACGTCCTGCTTTGCCTGAGATTTTCCTGTTTAACATCTGTTACACCAGCATAGCTGTTAATAGCATCTCCTTTCATTCTCCAAAATGTCCCATTTGGATCATAGATTATATGACCACTTGTGATCACACTGTCCCTCCCACCCCCCACAGGGCTCGAGGGGGAGAGCAGTGCTACGAATGAGGTGCTCGTTGCCTCGTTTGCTTTGTTGTGATCACTCTGTCCAGTTCTCTGAATCCTGGCAGAGAAACCCCCCACCATGCCTTTCCCGAGCTCCTGCCTGAGACCTGCAGTCTGGCTCCTGGTGATCACCCAGCAGGCATGCGAGGCAGGGAGAGCTGGGGGCTGCTCACCTCAAGTAATGTTCCTCTGATGCGCCCAAGGGGTCCTGGGAATAACCAGCCAGCACTCTCTTCCTGGCTGTGAACAAAAGTTCTGGCAAGGCCAGTTTCTGCATTTTCAGGGGCCGTGATTCTCAGAATGACTGCGGCTCTGGGTTGAGTCACTTGAAATCCCTTGCAGAGTGAACCGGAGCCTCCTGGGTCTGTTTATGATCATGTGTTCTGAATAAACCCGGGAATTGCTTCTGGGTTCACGTTACGCTGGGCAGAATTTGTTGCCAAGGCTGGAGGGAGCAGTGGCCACCATTGGCGGGTACGTTGGCCTCCAGCTTTCTTTCCTCTGAGCTGGGAAAGGTCATCATTGTGCATGCTGAATGTCAGAAAAAGCTTGGCTTTGAAAACCTCATCCCCTTAACCAGGCATGTGGGGTTGGCCAAGGGAGATGGTCCTCCCTGGGCACCACCTCTCGTTATCAGGGTCCTGCAGCGGGGAGAAGGAGTGAGATCAGGATAGGAACCAGGATGGGTGCATTCTCTGGAGGTGGTGGCTCAGGGTGGAGAGAGGGCTCTGACTCGGTGGTTGATGCCTTCAGAGTCCAGAAATGACACCGGCTAGGAACGGCTGACTCGGGAATTCCCTCCTCACTCCTGCTCTTTGTTTCTAGAGCTTCTTCCTAGGAATTAAAATTCCTGCCTTGGCATCAGCCCCGGGTGAGGTGTGGGTGTGCTAGAATCAGAGTTGGGGTGGATGGAGGAAACGAGGCGCAAGTCAGCAGGGGGAACACAGGGTTTCAGGGTTAGTAGACTTTTTCTGGTACTAAAAGCATTTTTAGTTTTTTATATGTTTAACTTTTGTGAAAAATTTAGAGAACAGAGATAAAAGGAATAAAAATTACTCCAAATCCATCACCCATTTACTGAAACAACTAATCACCTGTTGGTATCTTTTTATCTATTGACCTACCGTTTCATATTAATGTCCTGAGAACAGATAGGATCGCACTGTAAGTACTGTTCTGTGTTTTATACTAAATGTGCATCGAAGACCCAGAGGTTGGCTGTGGAGGGAGGAGGATGGGTGTGGTGAGTAATTATTCAAGGAGCACAGATCTTTGGAGCTGGCTGAGAAAACCACTAATTAATTAATGTAACAAATGCATATCCTGTGCCTGGCAAAGTAACGACATGTTATTGGAACTAGTTACTTTTCTCACAAAAGTGTACAATAATCTAATGAATAGAATTATGAAAGAAGTGGAATATTATTCCTTTTAAGAAAGGTGGCTTTAGTAATCCAACAATGAAGATTGTTTCAGTGCTGATTGTTTTCGTGGACTGGATAACTCGGTCTGATTCTAAAACAAAGTACCCAATTCATGCCCTAGGACCACAGATGGAGCTTTCAAGTAGCTGGAATGGGCTCATCGTGATCATTCCAGGGAGAGAAGGAGCAAGAGAAATGCTTTGGGTAAGATGAGGCTTTCTGAACAGATTAATGAAAACCAGGTTTTTGCTTAGGTTAACTTTAGCCAAGGAGCTAAGGAGATCGCTTGTCTAAATGCTGGAAAAAGTCAAGGTTAATACTTTCCAACAGATAGGTAGATAGGTGACTAGAGAGTCGAGAAAGATGGATGATGAAATACTGGACAGTTTTCTCCCCCTACTGATTTTTTTTTTTTAGTTTTTTTAAAAATTTTATTTAGTTATTTTTCAAGTACAGTTTTTTGTCTATTTTTCCCCTACTGATTTTTTAAAAGCAAGTTCCCAGGGTAGAGAAGAACACTGGACCACCCTGAAGTCAGTTCCAACTTTCCATATTTGCATGCAGCAAAACTCTGTGCTTGCATCTGCAGGTGTGATTTAGGGCCACTCCCAGGCCCACAGTGGGACACGGGTGCTCTAAAGGCACAAGCTGGGTTTGGATCTTCCTGAGGGACAGCCCAATGGGACACAGGGTTTGGAACGGCAGACCTGGATTTGGTCCTGGCTCCCCGGCTGACTTTCAACTCCAGCATTATAATCACCACTTCCTCACCTGTAAATGAGTAATAATACTTGCTTCAAAGCATCACTGTAAGTATTAAACAAATAGAGGTATAGATTTGAAGCACTTTAGCTACTATTGTCGTTAACTCCAGCAGTCAAACAGAGCACTCAGAAATGCAGCTTCCGCTTAGACCAGACATTCCTGCCCGCTTGGGAGAAACGATGTGCTCGTACTAACTGGAAGGCGTGTGGGTCCTGTCACTGACATCAGCACCTTTTCCTGCCTCATTTCAACAGATTTTGGGAGCTGGGAAATTCCCAGTGTTACAGATTAACCAGCGTGGGGTCCCGGCTGAGAGCACAGATCTGGATCCAGCCTGCCTGGGCTTGAATCCCAGACTTGCCTCTTGCTGGCTGTGCAACCTAGGGGAAATCACTACAACTCTCTGGGTTCCAGCCTGCTTAGCTAGAGAACGGGGAATACAACAGCATTTACCTTCCTGGGTTACAGTGGGGATTCTTATGTGCTTACCATATTGCGGGCACTATTGGGTGTAAGCTACTATTAATTTCCAGGAGTCAATCAAAGTTCTACTTCCAAGTCAAAAGGCTACTTCCCTGTGACTTGTCACGAGGTACCCTCTCCTGGAGGGGCTGTTCAGGTGAATTCAGTTAGTTTAGATGACAGAAACCCTTTCTCTTTAATCTCTCTTGATCTCAAACAATCCCTCTCTCCAGGATATAGAAATACATATGATAGACATATATTATTGGATATACTACCTCTATTGGTTATAGGGGTTCAGTGACTCCAAGAATTAGCAATTACTTCACAGACGTTTTTGAGCATCTAATGTACACAAGGCCCTGGGGGCTAGGAGACGAGACTGCTTGTCCTCAGTGGCTCCTTTTGATGACTTCTGTGCGATGCCAACATAGATGTCCCGTCTGCATGTGTGCAGAGCCTGCGGAATATGCTGCTTGTTTATACCAGGCATTTGAAAAATATCCAGAAGAAGATAAATTTTGAGCCAAGTTCCTGTACAAGAGTCCTTTGGTTCTTAGTGACAGAAATTCAACCCAAACACACCTAAGCAAAAAAGAGGGATTTCTTGGCTCGTGTTCCAGGGAAATTCAGGGATGACTTCAGCTTGGCTAGATGTAGGAGTCAAGTAATACAATCAAGGTGCTCTCTTCTCATTCCAGTTTCTCAAGTCTTCTTCCCTCTGAGTCAGTCGGTCTTCTGTGGCAGACAGACTTTCTCAGGCCAGGGAAGATCTCCTGGCTTGGCCTCCCAGGGAGAGAAGAGGAACTTTGCCTTCGAAATGTCCACAGACCAGCTCTGAGAGGGAGTATGATTATCACCTGATAAATAAATGTGTGTCCCCTGTTGGAATGAGTGCAGGGGTTT